TCCCCCTCCTCTCCCTCTCCCCCCCCCCAAGACATGTCGACTTCGGCAGTGTATTCTCCCCATCCACCTACACACAATCTGCCCGGCACCAGCAACTCTTCCGCAAACGACACCCCCACCCCCACTACCACCACCACCAAGGCACGCTTCACTCGTGCACGCTCAGCTACGTCGGGCGGTGGTGGTCCAAGTGTCTCTCCGACTCGCCCTATGTCATCACCTCGCAAGTCTCCCAAGAAAATGACAAGCCCTAGTCGTGCAAGCCCTGGGCGTCAAACCTCTTCAGCCGGCGCAGGCGAAGGGGCCGGGCCTAACGGTACGACACCAACAATCGATTCACCCAACAAGACATCAACCGAACAGACATCCACCGCTGCCAACGACTCATCAACCCCAGCGCCGGGTGTTGATGCATCGACGGCCTCGCCACCCTTGCAGAAACAACATTCCGGTGACAAACAGCAGGCCGACGAACCGATCACAGAAGATCCCGCCGTCGAAACAGATTCCTCTGCGAAAACTCAGAAGATCATGCTTGTCTTCGGTCGCAAGCGCAAGGCTCCCATCGACGATGACATGACCACGGTCAGCTCAGAGCTGCACACCCCCAACGCGACAACTCCTCCCACGGATCAGGCGAACCACGCTTTGGATGCGACTGTTCCAGGCGAGAAGGCTTCTGCCGTGTTGGATCATGCCGGCAACAATGTCGTGCCTGACGCTACCCCTTCTGCCACCAATTCTCTTGCAAACAGCTCAGCTCCAGCGGCCGCAGACTCTGCCGCTGCTCCCGGAACAGCTGCATCCAACACGCACACGACCAACACTCCCACCACTACAGCCGGTGCTGATGCTTCTGTCGCAGCGGATGCGGCCGTGGCTGCTGCTGTGGCTGCCGCAGAGGAGAAGCCCAAGCGTGCGCCTAGAAAACGCCGCAAGTGGCTGCGTCGAGGCGAGGTGGACCCTGACGACCCCAAGGCGGTCGCGGAACAGAAGGCCCGCCACGCGCTTATCGACGCCGCGATTGAGGCACTTGATCAGCAAGAGCAGGCGGTCCTCGACGAGACGCATCCGCAGCTTGTTGAACTGCTTGAGGAACTCGAGAAACGTCGTCAGCTTCGGCTCAATTACGCTCTGTCCAAGTACAATGCAGAGAAGAACGAGCTTGACAACCTCCGACGACAAGAGCTCGACCAGATTCGTTTCCAGTTCAGGGTGAGTCTCAACCGACGGTTCAGTCACTAACTTCAGGCCGACTGTGAGGACCTCGCAGACAAGATGATGTTCGAGTGCCGCCGCAACATTTCACGACTCGAGGCTGAGAAGGTCTACCTCGATCGCGGGATGCCGAAGCATCACGTAAGGCCCAAGAAATTCTACACCAACATGCCGACGCTGGGTGAGGGACGCGGTTCCGGAGGTTGGCGTCTCCCGACGTCCAAGCTGCTTTCCAACGGCAAGCAGCGGACACGGCCTGTGTATGCAAAGGACGAGTGGCGAAGTCGTCGCGCCATTGACTTTGGAATTCAGCCTGCTAATCGTCACGACGTCAATGATGACCTCGTCGCCCTGGGACTCAGGGACCCACCGACACCATCACCCTCGCCGACTCCCTCCCCTTCGCCCTCGCCAGAGCCGATTCTTGTCGAGGAGGAAGTTATTGAGATTCTCAAGCCCGAGCCTGAGCCTGAGCCTGAGCCCCCTCGTCCTATCGAGATTCCCGAGCCGATAGAGCAGCAGCCGCCACCTCCCCCTGAGCCCGTCCGGGTCGTGCCTGCCGGTCCCCCTCCTGTTATGTGGAACGAGCCCCTTCCTCCTAAAGAGGCTCCACCGCCACCTCGACCTGCGCCGTTCCCTTCGAAGGGCTACGAGCGTGGTGGGTCGGTTGTTCCTCCTCCACCCCCCATGGGGCCGCCCGAGCGCGAGCCGTGGATTCCCAGCTACCGACCGCCTCCGCCTGCCCATGAACCTCTTCCCCCTCGTCGCGGCTCCATCCCCTCTCGAGAGATGGACCGCGGTGCCCCGCCTCCCATCCCCATCGACCGTTCCCGACCACCTCACTACGACCCCTACTTCCGCGAGCCACCCCGCGATGCTCCTCGTATGTTCGACCCCATGCGCGACCCCCGTATGGAGCCTCACCCGATGGACCCGCGCATGGGTGGTCCGCCGCCGCCGAACGCGCACATGCGACCCGGCGAGCCGCTCATGAGTGACCCCCGCCGCGACCCGCGCGATCCTCGCGACATGCGTCCCGACCCCCGTATGGACCCCCGTGATCCTCGGGCTGATCCCCGCGATCCTCGTGACATGCGCCCGGATCTGCGACCAGACATGCGCGGCCCGCCACCGCCGCCCCCTGGACCACGTTACGACGACCGTGGACCCTACTACAACCGGCCTCCTCCGGGAAGCATGTACGAGTCGCCGGCGACGCGTATGGACGGGCGCTGGAGCGGGCCTCCTTCGCGTCCTCCCCCTGGTTACTACCGGGACGACTGGCGCCCTGGACCGGGCCCTCCCCTCCTGGGCCACCCACGGGCCCTCCCCCTCCTCGGGAATACTATGGTCCGCCGGGCGGCTACGTTCCCCGCGAGCCCCGCTTCCCCGGCATGAGCACGCCGACAGCGTACGCCAGTTCGCGCCCGTGAGTGGTAGAAGCATAGATTGCTAGCGCCGAGTGCCCTCTAAGGATGAGGAGTCAGCCAGCGCAATCATGGAGGACGAGAATGGAGCGCCTGCTGTGACATGAGCAGAGCGAGTCCGCAGATAGCAGCAGTGGTAGTAATTGTCATTTCTTCATCCTTGCATCGGTCCATCTTATCGTGTATGCATGCATTAGGTCTGTACCATGGGAAGTGGCTTGATGCGTTTGTGACTGTCTTGCCGCATTTCTGGAACCGCCAGCTGATATGCTCCAACACCGTGTACAGCTGGTACAGCACGTCCAAGCAGTACGCACGCCGCTCGACTTGTTTCGAACGAGGACATCATGATTTCAGGTCAGTCACGGGTCTCAGCGCCTAGCGGTTCAGTGCGGCACCAAAACGACGCGTCTTTGCGATTTGAGCGGAGAGCCCTGCGGCTTCGCGGATCGCGGAACCAAGACCACGTGCCACCCTTGCTGGCTGGCTTGACGTGTCGGCGTCGAGCCCAAGCTGCTCAGGTCGATGATGACAACTGTGCACTTGCATCGACTACCCACAGTTGCAGCGCCGCCCGACCCCAGCGTGATGCTGCTTTCCACTCTCCTAGCGCTTGCGCCGCTAGCGCTCGCAAAGTTCGAGGGCGGAGTGCCCCAGTCCTTCATCAACACGGCCATCGCCCGCACCATCGAGCTCGGCGGCAGCACGCACGTCGTCACCACGCAGTACAATGTCAAGGCGCTCGTCGACAACCCGGAGACATACGTGCTGGCGCTTGGAAAGGAGGGCGATGAGCCGCCCGCGTGGTACGAGGTTCTCGTCGCTGGACAGCCCGTGCAGGACGTCGTGACGGACAACGTCGAGGGGTAAGTTGTCACAACATACGGCTGGAGGCGGTAACTGACCATCGCAAGAGCACCCGCCGCCCTCGTGCCGATTGGGAAGATGAAGAAGGATGGAACAGTGACCATCTCGCTGAACGAGATCGTCGCTAAGTCGTCGCGGCCCGTTCCGGCCGAGATCGAGCAGCGCGCTCCCCAGTACATCATGTGGGAGACCAACTCCACCCTCGTCGACAGCGTGTACACCTCTGACGTTGAGCGCATCAAGATTCGTGCGCCGACGCCCGAGATTATCGGCCAGGGCAAGGTCCCCAAGACGTACACTCGCGACTCGGACCTCACCAAGTCTGGCGCCACGATCACCCTCGGACCGTTCTACAGCGTGCCCCCGACCCTTGGCAAGGACGCCAAGGGCGAGCAGTCGCCGTTCTGGGTCCACTACGAGACCAAGGTCCCCATTGCTGGTATCCGCTCGCTGCGTCGCTCTGCTGAGGTTAGCCACTGGGGCGCGAACCTCAACATCCAGGACGAGATTGAGCTCTTCAACAACGGACCTCGGTAAGTTGGCTACCCTAGCCTTCGAGAATAGCCACTAACATGCAGACTCAAGGGCCAGTTCTCGCGCCTGAACCACCAGCAGTCCCGTTTCTGGGCCAGCAAGCCTGCCCAGGTGCTCTCTGAGCTCGTTATGCGCCTCCCTCCCCTCGCTCGCTCGGTCTACTACTACGACGTCATCGGCAACGTCTCGACCTCCCACTTCCGTGAGGGTGTTGCCCGCAAGGGCCGCACGACCGAGTCGCAGCTCGAGTTCCGCCCCCGCTACCCTCTTCTTGGTGGCTGGAACTACACCTTCACCGTTGGATGGGACAGCCCGCTGTCCGAGTCGCTCAAGGCCGAGCAGGACGGCAAGTACGTCCTCTCCGTTCCCTTCCTCACCCCTCTGAAGGACGTCGTCGTGGACGATGAGGAGCTCCGCATCATCCTGCCCGAGGGCGCGACCGACGTCCAGGTCTACACTCCTTTCCCCGTCGACGAGATCGACCACGCCGTCCACAAGACGTACCTCGACACGACCGGCCGTCCTGTCGTGACGCTGAAGAAGCACCTTGTCACCGAGAACCACGCGCAGCCCGTGTACGTCACGTACAACTACTCGCGCGCCGCGCTGTTCAAGAAGCCCCTGACTGTCGCGGCGTTTTGCGGCTCGATCCTGCTGCTCTTCATCCTGCTGCGCCGGGTAGACTACAGCATCGAGAAGAAGAAGCGGGAGTAAGTCGTGCGCACGACCTAAGGCGCAAGTTTTATTAGTAGAAGCACAAATCTAGGCTGTCAGTATCAGCTAGTCACCCATTTTAGACACGGCTCGGCCGTGTAGCCATCCATAGAGAGCATGTATTGCGTGCAGATTGCAGTGATAACAAGCGGCCATTGCGCATTGGTGGAAAGAGTGCAGCTGATGATTGGCCAGAAGGACCGTAAGCGGCGACGATCGTCACGAGTGCCTTGCAGATGTGAAAGAGCAGAGATGTCACTCTGTCATGACCGAGGCGATGGTGTGCATACGTGCGCATCTCTGACGCTCATTATGCATCACCGGCCACCGAGGGGCCGGATGGACCGATGAAGCACTGCGCCGAACTCCGTGCATGCAACGGCACCTTCACCGGGTAGTCACAGTAAGGGTCAGCACGCCATGAGCCGCCAAGCCGTTGAGTCAGGCATGGACAGAAGGATGGGACTTAGGCCAGGTGAACCGATGCGCGGCATGCATGACGATGGTCGGTACGGTGTGATTAATCGCCGCGGTGCGCGGCACAGTGTTGCATGCGAGGTTAGGTCAGTTGGCCGACTGGTTAGTCGAGGTGTGCGTGGGACAGCCGTGGACGCCGGTGCCGTGCATGCAGTGACGACGGGCCCCCCACAGGCGGGCAATGGAGGCACTGGAGGGCAGCCCTTTTCCCGCTCCAACCCCGTAATCCATGTCGGGCCATGCTAGCCATGCTGTCATCACCCGTCCATCAATGTTCCCCTGTCCGCCCTACCTGCGCCTGACTTGCCAGACCTTTGCTTGCCGACGCTCCTTGCTTCCTTTTCTTTCTGATCCGACCTCACCACACACATACACACTCGCACTTGCACACACACTCTCTGCTCGTCACCTGCAGCGACCCTGCGCATACACGCTTCCATCAACACATAAGCGAATAATCGCCTGCAGAGCAAAAGCGCCGGCCACCAACCCCTCCCTGAATACTCTGTTTATCGGCACCTCCACCCCCGCACCGACCGGGCACCGGCTCGCTTGACCACGACAACGACCTTTGACCAGGGGCGATGACCCGCCCGATCGCCTCAGGCTCCTCGTCGCCGTTGACCTCGCACAGCTCAGGCTCTCACACGAGCTCGCTGAGTCGGGGACCGGCTTCCCGCTTAGCTGCCCGCCGCCAGCAACTCGGCGACCATGTCGGTACAGTGGCGGCACTGCAGCGCGACCTCTCGGCCGACGTCGACGACCTCCGCTCCGTGGGAGGCTGGGACCCCCTCACTGCGCACGGGGTCGAGACGTGGCTCGAGGACCGAGGGATGATCTTCCGTGCTCTGAGGGTGAGTCGTGCATCGCATCGCATCTCGTGCTCTCTGTGTCTCTCACTTTTGCGTCAGGGGCTTGCTAGGGCTGCTTAGTGAGAAGAAATACCGGCTAAACCGGCCCGGGCCAGTCCACATGATTGGAATCCACAATCTAAATCTACTTGCATCCGCATGGATTGCGCCAGCCCTGCTAGCCCTGCCCAGCCATGCAGCCGTGCAGCACAGCCAGCCTGGGCTCTCCTGGACGTCTGAAACTGCATGACCACACACGCACGCCATCGCCGTCCCATGCCCTGCTGCCATCCCGAAGCTCCCGCTCGCAGAGTATACTGACATCCAGCGCAACCGTTTCGACATCGAAGCCGCCCACAACAAACTTCTCGATGCACTCGCGGCCCGTCTAAACCGAGGATTGCATGGTAGCATTCCACCCCCGCCAACGCCACTCTGGACACTTCTGCCGTACGCCGGCCGAAAAGCCTGCGTCGACCACCTCGGCCACCCGGTTGTCGTTCTCAGCCTTCGTGACGTCGCGCGAGATGACACTGGGTCTCTCGACGAGCTGAAGGACTGGACGTGGTGGGGCCTCGAACTCGTGCGCCGTGCACTGAAGGAGTACTGGGTCGACGGACGCAGAGGGACCGGAGCCGAAGGAGCGGTGCTGATCATCGATGCCGCGAATGCGGGATACCGCAACTTGGTGAGTTGACTGTTGGAATCGGAGTGGCAACCGAACATCCTTCCGGGCCTTAGTGTCCTTCCCTTACTCGGGGATCTCTCAAACGTGGGCACGGACGCCCGTCGCTTGTCGCCATGAACGGCTGCCCGCTCTGCATGCTCTGCACAAGCTTGCCAAGCTGTCGCGGAACGGCATGTAGCGGCATGCACGGGGTCCATTGCGGCATTGCAGTGGTCCCAGCGGCAAGCTCGCTCGCTACCTCCCGGCCACGATTTACCGGGTACACACAAATGTTTCACCGCTCTTTTCTTTTCTGCGTCTCTTTTGTTCCTTGTTCGTTGCTGACGCTGTGAAAAGGAGGTCGAGCTGCTCCCGACGCTGTTCAACGTCGCCCGCGACAGCTACCCCGGCGAGTTTGAGAGCGTCTACGTCGTCAACGCAGGGTGGTCCCATCGGGCCATGTGGAACAACATCCTGAAACGCCTGTTGCCACGAAGTGCCGTCGAGAAGATCACCTTCCTCGAGTCGCGCCACGACACCGAAGCGGTGTTTGACCTAGACACGCTACCCAAAGGTGAGTTCCGTTGGTCGTACTTGGCGCTCCCGCACACAATCTCTCGACCGCCGCTACCCCAGGGCGCCCCGTCTCCTAGCATCACCCGTTGCATCATGCAATCACAAGTGCGCAGATCGCGCGGAGATCGGGCGCATCCATCCTTTCTCCTGTGTGCTACGACGGGCGCGCGCTTCATGCATGCCTTGCCCGCCGTTTCCAAGCATCGGAACTGGGGGCGTAGGCCAGGGTGTGCAAGGATCACCAGACGGTCAACCATGACCGGCCCACTGATGGACTATAACTGACCATCGCAGCTCTGGGAGGCGACGGCCCACCAGTCGACCACGAAACCATGCTCCACCACCTCTCAATCTCCCGTTCTCGACCGTCATCACGTGTCAACTCTCGCGCACCATCACGGAAGGGTTCGCGAGCCCCGTCGCGTGAGCCGCCAAAGTCGCGCAACAGCCTCAGCCGAGCGACGTCTGCGACTTCGATGGCCGATGTCTTCTTCACCGCTCCGGCCTCCCCCGCCAACCTGAGCCGGGCCGGATCGAGGGCCCCGTCGCGGAAGAGCAGCCACCTGATGCTGTCGCAGCTGAACCACAAGCTCGCCATGACCAAGCACGAGGAGGAAGAGGCCGCGACAGTGGGTGGCGATCCGTCCCGGGCGTTCGATTACATGCGCGGTGAGGCCCCGAAATCGCCACTCCCGGATGAGCCTGCGGTCCAGTCACCGCTGCATCGCATCAAGTCGTTATCAGACTTCCACCTGTACCTCTCGCCATCTCGCTTGGCCCACCGCGACCTGCTGTCCGACTCGGAAGACGAGGGCAGGGACCAGGTCCACATTCGGCCACCGATCCAGCGCCGCCGCTCGCTCCAGCCTGCCTTCATGGAAGGATCGACGCTGGCCGCCCGTCGCGCCGCCGCCCGCAACGCCCAGCTGTCCACCGCGCAGCAGAACTACACGTACTCGCTCTTAGAGCACCACGCACAGGGCCTCGAGCGCTACAATCCCGACGTCTTAACCCTGCCAGCGCTGCTGTTGCCCGAGGAGGAACCGCCGGCCACGACGCCCACGACCCCAATCGAAGAGGCCGAACCCGTCCCTGCCGTTGGCCACTTTGCAGAGGAGAACCCGTGGTTCGGGTATCCCGTCGTGCGGACGAGCGACGGTCAGGTGCGTCCGCGATACGGGCGCAACCGCAAGCGTGACCTCATCAAGACGCTGCTGTGGCTGTTCGTCATCCGATTGCAGTCGTGGCGCGATGCCCTCGAGCGAGCGATCGCACGCATGCTTGGCCTCAAGAGCCTCGGATACCCATACTTTGAGCGCAAGCGCGTCAAGGCCGCGAATCCAACAGCAGGCCTGCTGCGCACGGCGCAGGAGAAGCGGGCGTCGTCCTCGCGGGCCGTGGTCCGCGCGACGAGCCGGGACTGGATCTGGATGCTGATCGGCTTCCTCCTGATGCGGGGGAGCTGGGCGCCGCTGCTCGCCAACCCGCTCGAGGCGGTCGGGCTAACAGGTCTGAAGGACTGGCTCGGCGTGACGCTGCCGTGAGCCGGTGTCGACTCGGCCGTGAGGCGTCGTGATCGTACAAAGGGATGCGCGGTCCCCGCCTGGCCTGCCTCGCACGACTCGTGTGGAGCTCCGCTGCCACATGCCGTCGGGTAAGCGGATATGCGGCGGTGGGCGGGTGCCAGCGGGGTGCGCTGTGCGGTGAATGCATCGTCCCGGGGCCCGCGGGCCCGAGGAGCGTCCACAGACACTTTTTCTTGTTGACAATACCTCTTGTAGAGTAGTTGTAATGTACATATGCATGTAGCCGGACACGGATGGCGATGCAGGGCGAAAAGGGCACGGGGGCACGAGGGCAAAGCATTCCAATGACGCAAGGGGTGAGCCGGGCGTAGATCATTCGGATTCCTTATCTGGGAGCCCCTGTGGTGTACAGTGGGGGATTGTGGTACGGTGAGTGATGGCGGGAGTAAAAGCTTCTCAACTCGTGCCGGTCATCGAGCGCCTGAGCATCCAGGATCCCACCTCCTAGCCGAGCGACTCGACGACTCGACGTCAAACTCTCCGAATACATTGCACAACACCCTCCGCTGCACAGCGCAGCGCAATCCCACACCAACCCAACCCAACAACCTAACATCCACGACCGACCTGTTCGCCTGATTCGACAGAACCCGGCAGCTCCTCGGCCGCCCCTCTGCTGAGCTCCAGGCTCAGCGGCCATCTGCGTCATGTCGGCATCGTCCGGGACGACGCTCATCTCGCCCACGGCGAGCAACGGCGTCGCAAACGTCAACGCCGCTGCGTCCACCACCTCCTCGGACCGGGATCAGAAGCGGAAACACACCCGAGTGCACTCGGCCCACCATGCCCACGGCCACCACGGCGGACATCATGCCCACGGCCACCATGCGCATGGGCACCACGGTGTGCACCACGCTCATCACCACGGGCACGCGGGACATGCGCGGCGAAGTTCGCGTAGCTCTCGTCGATCGTCGGGCGAGAGCGATGGCCGCCGAGCCCTCGCGGCCGGGCTGACGATGCACGCGCTCGACGGGAAGCAGCGCCGGAAAGAGTCGGCTGGATCCAGCGCAATCATGCAGCGCACGACGAGCGATACGGGCTCGGGTTCGTCACGAAAAGCGTCTGACCCCGCCCCCGTCGTGAGCCGCACGCCGTCGAATACTTCCGTGCTCTCGTCGGAGGGCAAGCGCCCTGAAGGCTCGCGACACGACAGCAACAATTCGGGCCGCGGACGGCACCGGGATAGTGTCGAGGTCGAGGTCATTGCTGGCGATGCGGCAGAGGGCGAGGAAGACGGCGAGTGGGAGAGCGGCGAGGAGACACCCGCCACGGCGCTCAAGGACAACACGTATACCGGCCCTGCGGAGCGGGAACAGAAGGCGGCGCAGGCGGCCAAGGACAAGGAGGCGCAGGAGAGCGGAGACGACAAGGGCAAGAAGGTGCTTGCTGAGTCACCCTCAGATCTGCGCGAGCCCTCGCACTCGCCCCGCAACGAGCCGAAGCAGAGCACAAAGGGATTCCCTGGCACGCCGACACCGCTCCAGACGCCCTCGGCACCGAGCGGCACTACGAGCGGCGCCAACTCGCAGCCTGGCTCTCGACCTGCCAGCCGGCCCGCGAGCCGCCGCCCGTCGCTGACGCAGCGCTCCCAGAGCCGCATCTCGCTCACGCGCCCCGCCGACTCGACGACGAGCCTGACGTCCCTCCACCAAGAGGTCGTCCAGGAGGAGAAGCCGAAGGCGCCCGAACCCAAGCCTGAGCCGAAAGAGTACCCCTTCCCCAAGATGGAGGCGGAAAAGCAGGACAAGGGCAAGGGACGGGAGAAGGACGCGACGGGCGAGACGGTCAAGGAGACCAAGCGCGGCGACTCGACGGCCAGCCACACGAGCCAGACGAGTCAGGCGACCGTCAAGAGCACCACGAAGGATACGGCCAAGCTCCCCACGCATGGTGAGAGCGGCGAGACGCCGGACGCCAAGCCGAAAACGGACCGCATGCTCAGCGGCGACGACGTGCAGACGAGTCCGGAGGAGCTGCCCGATGCGCCCGCACAAAAGGTCAAGGGCTCGACGAGCCTCCCTCGCCCGCTTTCCGTCACCTCACTGCGCAGCATCCAGAGCCTGCGTGCTCCGCCGCATCCGCTCAACTCGCCGACGGGACGCAGCGGCTTCCTCGACTCGCCGAAGAGCGCCAAGCGCGTCGCGTCCCTGCACTACCCGCCTGCAGCGCCTGCCGTTGTCAACTGCGAGACAGTAGAGGGCCAGGGCTGGGACGAGGACGGCGCGCCAGCCCGCCCGCCCCCACCAACGCGGCCAGAACGTGTCGGCTCCTTCTCCTCTGTGCGTTCGCTGAAGGGCGTGCTTGGGCAGCCGCGGCCGCCCGTATCCCGCGCCGCCTCCTCGCGACAGACAGCAGCCCAGGCCGCCGCCGCCGCTTCTCGTTTGAACACGACCACAGACCCGGTCGCCTACCACCACAGCCTAGGCTTCAGCCAAGCGACGGCCGAGACGGCACACCTTCTCTCGCGTTTCCTGCCGCAGAAGAAGGGCCACCGGCCGCGATGGGCGATCAGTGCGCGAGAGGCAATGGCAGTGCACGAGGCGATCGCGAACGGCGAGGAGCCCGAGGTGCGCGTCGGCCTCACAGACGGGCAGTACCGGGACGCGCACGAGAGTCTGGTGAACACGCTCCGCGAGCTCGGCAAGACGCGCAAGGGCCCGCGGAGGGGCAACACCGTCTCGAAGAGCTACTCGTACCAAGCTCTCCTGGGCGGCGTTGGGGCCGAGGAGCTCCAGATCAACAGCAACGTGCCCCGCCGACGTGCCAGTGGGCAGACACCGTTCGAGATGAGCGTGAATCGCTGTCTCGCGCAGCGGCCATAGCGGCCTTGGCGGGTCGCATCGCGCAGTTGTCATGATCTCGATAGAAAGCAGCAATCTAGCTTAGCACACACCCTTCTCTTTTAGTCTCTTTAGTCTGGACTCGTCGCTGTAACTCGGCAGACGACGTTGTATTTTACTCTTTCCCTAGCCCTATGCGAGTGGTACAGATGCCGCTGAGCTTTGCACACGTCTTTGGTTTATAGTATTGACTGACATTCATTCATGCCCGCCGTCGGCGGTTGAGGTGCGCCGCCCCCTGATGCACTCGGTCATGTGGTTAACAGAGGCTCGGCATAGCTCCTCATAATGCAGTAACGGACGGGAAAGCAGCCTCATCAGAGAGAGTAGAGCCTACAGAGCCCGCAAACAGACAGCGATCGCTTTCGAGAGTGCAGTGTCAGCGACGCCGAGACATTCGCACCCCGCCACCCCCACATCTTCCCCTCCCTTCCTCCTCGCACCTCTCGCACCTCACGTTCTCACTCCTCCAACCCTCTCTTCCCCTCGCACCGTTTCACACCCTTTATTCCATCCAAACGTTTTTTTTTTTTTTTTTGCATTTCTGACAGCCGAAGGCTTATCCCCACCCGCGCCGGCGCAACTCTCGTCCAGAATCAGGACGTTCTCGTGGTGTAGTGGTTATCATACTGACTATAGCGTCGTAGAGCGATTCGAAACCATACTCTCTTAGGGTGATCTAACATCTTGAGCTTTGCCTCCTCCTCTCTTCCGGAGAGGGATTGGGAGTGGCCCCGGGTTCAAATCCCGGCGAGGACCTTTTTGACCTCTTCTCGACTCTCTGGAGGTGTTGGGAATGTTGGGAAGTGTGGGAGCTTTCGTTGGAAGACGGTCGGGTGGAAGAAGAGTGGTGGGGTGTGAGGTGGGATATTGGTGGCGGTGGAGGTGGAGGTCGATCGGGTGGCGAGGAAGGTATGGCTTGAACGCGCGGTCCATATGGGGCTAGCACGAACGTCAGCGGAGTCGAGTGGGCTCTAGTGGCGGCAAGGATGACTGGGAGACACTGTCGTGAGTGAAGCGGGCATCTCGCGTGAAGGCGAGAAGCGAGGCTCGTGGTGAATGGCGGACGATACCCCGGAATGATCTTCCGCCACTTCCTGCGATCGTGCAGTCGCTTCCAGCGCCTGTAGCTTGTAGCAAAGAGGCTGTGCAGAAGCCTTCACTTGTGCACAAGTAAGCATACCCATGGGCAAACGTGCGTCCGAGTCCGGAACGATGAGGGTGGAGTAACGATGGGCGGGAACGGCGGTGCAAGCTGCGCAATGGAAAGCTTCCCCTTCTGCGGCGGGCACATGCGAATCAGCGTTCAAGTCATATGGTCATGAGACGTCGAGAAATGCCTCATGTCTCAGGCGCAGGAGGCTGGGCTGGCAAACCCCGGTGTACCCGGTTCGACTGGGAATGCCAAGATGATTGTCGCTGTGTGGACTGCGGGATATGAAAGAGGGCGCGGGGGCGGGTGAGTCAGCCGCGCGTGAGTGATCGGCGGGGGTCAGATGACTGACAGAGCCCAGGCGTGGGCGATGGGCGTATGGAAGTACATGCAGCCGAGGTCACATGCCACGATAAGAGATTGTCGATTGTCAAAAGAAGTGGTAGCAGAGTCGACGATCAGACCTGAGTGCCAGTCGCCGGGAACTGAGACTAATGGCCGGCATTCTTCCATGGGTCGTTCACACGAAGGGCTATCCACTACGTTCTCAAATGGGATGAAGCATGGGGCAGAGGGGGCGCTTCACCCGTACTAAGTGAGGGGGAAGACGTCGCAGGCTGGTCGAGAGTGTCTTGCGATCAACGATTGACGGCGCTTCTAGCTCGAAAGCAATGCTAAAGGGGGCAAAATCCCGACTCCAAGCAGCACGTCCAACAGCAAGCGACGTGCCAGAGCCCGTCTCAGCCGCCCAGGACCCTCCAAGGACGGGGACTGAAGCATGAGATTAGGCTTTCGGCAGCTCGGCAGCTCGGGCAGAGTAGTGACCCGAGAGGAACGAGGCACGTCGCGGCGTCGCGTTCGCGCTACCGTTCTCGCTGTCGTTCTCAGCTGGCTTGGCGCGCGATACGACGAGCGTGCAGCGATGTCGCCATACGCACAAGAAGGCCACTCTTCTGCAGACAGAGTCGCAGTACTAACAACGCCCATGCGCGCCGTCTAATTCATGCAGGTTTGTATGAAGCCGCGCAGATGACTCGGTCCCGTGCGATCGGCGTGATAAGTCACGCCATACACCGCTGTGCGAATGAGTGCGCCTGGGAGAAACAGAGTCTGAGCCGAAACACATCTGGAACTGCCTTAACTCTTCCCGGAGCCAGAGGAAGACTCGCAAAGCTTTCAGAGTCACGCTCGGCCAGACGGAAATGGGAGAACAAGGTCGCACTTGGCAAACTCAAAACGGTACAGAAGCAGTCTCGCTTCCTCTGGCCGCTATACGGGCCAGGTGCCCGCAATAAAAGGCGTCGCGTCCTAGCTCTGCGTGGATGAGAGCTTGGGTATCTGGGCACGTCAGATGGACACCGCCAGCCGCAGGCCGCAGTGACACCGTCGCACCGGCGCAGCATCGGTGAGATTGGTGGGACCGGTGCAGCCGGTGCAGATTGATCATATGGCGAGCAGGAACCCGCAGCCTGTCGACCCGCCGCTCTTATATGTCTGGCCACCGATTGTGTCGATTAGACTGCGGGGATAAGACAGGGGATGGAACGGGATCGGATGGGGAAGACACTCAGCTGGAGCGAGATACTGCGCCGGAGTGCGGAGCTGGTGGCAGGCGAGGAGCGCGAGGAAGACGACCCGGTCGGCTGGAAGAAAAAGCACAGCTAGTGCGACGGCTTGATCTGCGGACGCAGCTGCCTCACACGACGTTCTGGGCTAGTCTGGCTGCGCCGGACGGCACTAGACACACTAGAAGGCGAGCGCAGGCTGCACAGTCACCTCATCCGATCCGCTGGCGGCCACTCGGATTGCGGCAACCGGCATGCGGCATCAAGCATCGGGGGAATGTCCGGATGGCTCGGCGTACATGAATGCAATCAGTAGTGATGCCGCAGCCAGGTCCAGTGCTTGGCCGCTGGGCGCGCTGCGCTGTAGACGCTTGCCGCTTGCGTTCTGGTCCAGCTTGAAGTGACTGCGCCTGGCACACATGGCGCGCCTGGCTCGGACCCTCGGACGACGGTGTTTCAGGTGGGAACACTGGGAATGCTGGGACACTGGGACGTGACTGATCGCTGCGTGCGCAGTCGGCTCGGCCGGCTCTGCTGGTGCGGGCGCAGCGTTCGATGCATGGGTTGCAATGACTGCGACAGGCGATCGCTGCGGGCTGGACTAGGCGGTGAATACACCAGTATCGATCAACACCGCACACCGCGTACCGCGTAGCAGCAGCCAACGAGAGACGTTGCTGGTGACGCGGTGCACAGGTGACATCACCACCCTACTTTTGTGCTCCTACTGCGGCGGTCACCGGGGCGTGGGCAGAAGGTTCATGGTGACACGGTACACAGGATCTCGAACTCGCAAACGGCGATGGCTTGTTTGCTGCACTGCTGTACGCTGGGAGCTGGGAACCGGTCGGTGATCGATGTCGGTCAAATGCAAACAACAGCAAGGAGTGGGCCAATGGGGCCAGTGATGCATGCTGAATGGGTGTAGCACGCCGCAAGCCACTACATACACCTGTGAGAAGCCTGCGCAGTTCATCAATGCCAGCCATAGCCGCCATAGATCCCACAGAGAGACGCACATATACGCAGCGTAGAGTTAATTAATGCATCAGGCGAGGCTAATAGGCTCCACCACAGTCTGCTGCATTTGAAAGAGCGCAGTCGAGTCTGTCGGCAGCGTCGCATGATGCGCATGATCGCATGGAGCATGTCGCCATATGGCATCTGAGACGCGCGACACGATCAAGCACTAAGCACGCCAGGTGAATGCGAAATGTGCCGCGAGGTCGCCATGGCCTGGCCCAAGATCGGTAGCGGTAATCGGTTCCGACGCTTGGCCCCCGCTTGGCCTTCACCCTCCCGTCTCCGGACCGGGCATGCTGCGAGTCAACGCGTCGCACCCGGGGGGCAGTTCTATGTTCTGTACGTCTGTACAATCTGTGTGCAGTGCTGCGACATACGCGCCCTGTCACACTCTGCTCGGGGTGATGCCGGGCCAGCAGTGCTTCTAGCGTCAACCTGAGTCCATCGCTCTGGGCCAGGTGTGTTCAGGCTTCCTAACCGTAGTGCTCGGAAGCTACGCAAGATGGCATTCCAAAGTAGAGTTCCCCCTGTGCACGTGGGGCTTGATTGAACACGCGTAGAGTAAGGTCTGCAGCAGACCGCAGACAGAGACGGCAGGGCCCGCCAGGGTCCACACCCTGGGGTGACCGGAGGCTACGACGAGCGGCGCATGTTTGGTCCGTTCCTTGGGTATCCTGCTCTCATCTCCTGGATGCTTCGCAGCTTGACTACGGTGACCAACCGGCCTGCGCGACCCCAGCCCAGCGGCCAGCGGCCTCGTTATTCCCCAGACCGAGACAGGGAGACAAGGCATGGGAACTGCGAGCCAGACCAACGCATACATGCGCTCTTGCCTCCTTTCGCCTCGCGCCTGCGACCGACTGATCAGAGATAGATGTACGCGATCGTCCCTGACCCCCTAGCTCACGCAGCCCCGACAAGCACGACAGTCCCCCGACCTGCGCGACCTGGGGTAACATGCCGCCATCGGCCGCACCCTTACCCCAGTACCCCGGTTCGCGCACCGCGTACAGGTGCACTGAATCTGCGACACTGCGACGCAGCGACGGTGCAACACCCTCGTTTGAGTATCCGCAGCAGCTCGAGGCTCAAGTGATGATCCTTGGTCCCTGTCTGGCACAGCTGGCACGGCTGCCGCCTGCGCGCCGCGCTCGCGAGTCATGCCCAGCGCGTCCAGCGTGCTTAGCCGCAGTCACGGAAGAAACACCGCAGCAGGCGAGGTACGAAGCACTGCGAGCCAGGGCACGGCACCACGGCACAGCGGAGCAACTGCTTGCCAGGAGAGGCAGAACATCCCCTCTGTGATGCTGCGGGGGTTGCACCCGGTGCACCGCTGTGCCCAGTGGATAGCAACCCATGTCAGCGCATCGCGACCGACTCGGGCTACTCACTAAACAACGCTCTCACCCCCCACCGACCACAGAGCACATATATAGCCAACTCGCCTTCCTCCCTCCTCTCAACATAACATATACCTCTTTCAAACCGTTTTGGCCACTTGCCCTCTTCACGAACGTCTCGCCTTCGTCTGCCCCATCACGCTCTAACCACCAACAACCAACCACACTCTTTACAATGAAGTTCACTGCCGTTACTGCTTTCGCGACTCGTGAGTCACCTTCCTTTTGGCCACCACCACTCTTCAACCGCTAACATTCCTAGTCGCCGCCTTCGCCTACGCCCAGGACCAGGCCGGTGCTAGCGGCGCCGACGCTGGTGGTGCCGCTCCCTCTGCTGGCGCTGAGGGCGGCGCCGGTGCTGGTGGTGACTCTGGCGCTGGTGCTGGTGCCGGTGCTGGTGCTGGCGGCGCTGAGGGTGGTGCCGCTGGCGCCTCTCCCTCTGCCGGTGCTGAGGGTGCCGCCGGCACCGACTCTGCTGCCGGCGCTGGTGCCTCTGGTGCCACTGGCGCTGAGGGCTCCCAGGCCGGCGCTGACGGTGCCCAGGGCGGCGCCGCTCCCTCTGGCTCTGAGGGTGCCGCCGGCGCTTCTGGCTCTGAGGGCGCTGCTGGTGCCTCTGGTGCTGAGGCCGGTGCTGGTGGTGCCAGCGCCACCTCTGGCGGTGCTGCCGGTGCCTCTGACACTGGCGCCGCTGGTGCTTCTGGCTCTGGCGCTCCTGGTGCCGGTGGTGCTGCTGGTGGTGCTTCCTCCTCTGGCGCTGGTGGTGCCGCCGGTGCTGCCCCCACCTCTGGCGGCAACGCCGCCTCGTCTGGCGCTGGCGGTGCTGGCTCCTCTGGCGCTGCCACCTCTGGCGGCAACGCCCTCTCCTCCGGCTCCTCCAAGGTCGGCAGCGCCACCGGTGCCGCTGGCTCCAAGACCTCTGGCGCTGCTGGCTCTGCCTCCTCGGCCGCTGGCTCTGGCGCCTCCGCCATCGCCGTCTCGGGCGCCTCGGTCGCCGCTGCCGTCATCGCCGCGGTCGGTATCTCCGCCTTCTAAGCTACTCAACGCCTGTGCATTTCGCTCCCGTTGTTCGCTTCAGTACATTCTCCCAATCAACCTAGACCTCTACCCCCGAGCATCTTAGGCTCATCACGCAAACCAATTAGACTTTAGTTCGCAACGTTTATACTTATGATCAATCAATGAAAGCGTTGTCTGTTTAGATCTCCAAATATCTCGCTGCAGCCGCAATCCTCCAGCTGACGAGATGACCAAGCGCTAAGCGACGGGCGTGATCGGGGAAGATCTGCGCACCGGTCTGAGAGACCGAGACGTGTGAACGTCGACTGCGGAACCACGTTGCGCAGCTCGGCGAGGCAAAAATAGACACCGAGGCTGCAGCACATCGTGTGCATGACTGTGTAGGGTGCGAACAAAGGCAACTCACTACGGTCGAAGCATACAGTGAGCTTCCACTCACGTTTGGCTGGAGCAGCAACGGTGTTCTGGCAGGAGTAATCTCGGACTTACAAGCAGATATCCGGCTAAGCGTCAGGAACGGACCCGGAAATCGTGGCTGGAAGAGACGCGAGCGAATGCGGTGTCCACGGCGATCACCGTGCGGCCGGCAGCACAGGCAATCATGAGACTCACTCGCCATTCTCTTCATCGCTCAACCAACCCATCCCACGACATTCAACAACATTGAACGTTGGCGTAACGCCCGCCACACCTCACACGCTCTACTCCGACCCAGCCCCTGGCGCCGCGAGCACAGACCACGATGTCGCTGTCAGGAAGGTCCAACCCGGACCATCTGGAGAAGTCTTCCCCACCCTCCTCTCGCCGCTCCTGCAACATGCTCCGATCACGAAGACGACTGTTACTGTGGATTGTGGGGCTCATCGCCTCGATTGTGTTCATCTCGCGGACAGCCTATGTCGTCGCGAACCGGCGCGCCGACAGCCGAGCGCTCGCCTCGCTCGAGAGGGCCATGACCTCGCTTGAACACCCGGAATCACCGCTTTCGCTCGAAGGGAACAGGAAGATTCTCATCGTGCAACACGTTCGGGGAAAACGTATTGACATGGCGAGCGAGCTTAGCCACAAGCTGTACGCCAAGGCGTGGGGGTACCGGCACAAGACGACGGGCGGGAACTACTGCGGCCGGAATGTTCATGGCAGTTTCAACAAGGTGTTCGTGCTGAGAGACGCCATGCGCGAGGAGCTGAAGCACAAGACAGCCGACTGGATCCTGTACGTGTGATAGTACGATCGGAGCTGACCCGGCAGGTACACCGATGCGGATACGATCGTTTCAGACCCGTCGGTGGCGATCCACGTCCTCCTCCCTCCGGAAAATACGACGCCTGAGCCGCTGCTTTTGGGATCGCAAGATCACAACGGCTTCAACGCGGGCGTTTTCCTCATCCGCGTGCACCCGACGATGCTGCAGTTCCTCGAGGACCTAATCAGCGACACGAAGCTGCCGGGCAAGCTGAGCGACCAGCACTATATGGGTTTCCGTCTGCGGACGCAGCCGAAGTACTCGGACCACTTCTACGAGATCCCCAAGCAGTGGCTGAACGCGTACTGGATCGATGAGCTCGGCCGCAAACCGTGGCGCCCGATGCTGCACGTGCACCTCGTCAACTGGCTCTCGGAGAGCGTCTCGTGGCGGCCCATGATCCGCCAGGCCACCCGTATCTCGAAGGACGCAAAGGAGGCGTACTCCAAGTCATACAACGTGAACGGCAACGTGCCCAACAGCATCTTTGGGTTCGAGCTCCTGCCCCAGTACGCCATGACGGGCGTCAGCGCGGAGAAGTGGTGGAAGCAGGCTCAGAATGGCGTCAGGAAGATGAGGTTCCTCGATGAGAACGGAGAGGGTTCCAGGATCGACGGAGACCAGTACAACGAGGACAGGAGGTATGTCGTTTGGTGAGGGTTAGATCTTTGGATGCTGGTGCCGGAAACCCGCCGAGAGTTATGCTCGAGCATCGTGGCTGCTATCGTGAATCGTTGTACAATTAGCATCAACCACGCATTGTAGATACCCCATGCATCGTGGTTTATCGTGTCAAGCAGTGCAAATTGCATGTCAGGCAATGCGTTGTGCATGCTCAGCTTCGTCTTGTCACTTGGGCCACCCGCAATGCTAGCGGTTGTCGCAGATTACCGTGGTGGTGACGACACTTTGCTTCCGTCCGGCCGCGACCTCCACGACACAGCGCGGGCGAGGTTAGTGACGCGTGCCAACATTGACCAGTCCAAAACCACCACAACAACCATGCGTCTGTCCTCTCTGCTTGGACTCGCAGGCGCGCTGCTCCCGGCAGCGCTCGCCGCCAACCCGGGACGGGAACACTGGGCGGAACTGGCCGCGAAGTCGAAGAACGGCATCATCACCCTCGACTCGGAGAGCTACGAGGACATTCTGTCCGGAGACCGCGACTACGGCGTGCTCGTCGAGCTGACGGCGCTGGGGGCCCAGTACAAGTGCAACCCGTGCCACGAGTTTGAGCCGGTGTACCAGGAGCTGGCGAAGAGCTGGCAGCGCGTGCCTAAGGACGCCCGGGATCACTACTTCATTGCCGAGCTCGACTTCGCCGACGGACAGTCGGTGTACCAGAAGCTCCAGCTTAACACTGCCCCGACCGTCTTCTACCACCCGCCCAACAAGGGCGAGCGCGCTAGCAAGGAGCGCAAGCAGTATGACCTGAACCGCGCGTGAGTACTGGAGAGAAGCTTTCTGTGCTCCTCGAAATCAGCTGATCCACAGCGGCCTCGGCCTTCCCAACCTCCACTCGTTTGTCAAGTCCACGACGCCAGTGTCGTTCGAGATCTACCGCCCGATGTCTCCCTGGCCGTTCATCATCACGCCCTTCCTGATCGGAGCGGCCGGCTATGTGCTCTACGCGACGAGCGACTTCTGGATCCCCGTCGCCCAGTCCCGCATCTTCTGGGGCGTGCTCAGCATCATCGCCGTCACGATCTGGACCTCGGGCTACATGTGGAACCGCATCAAGGGTGCGCCGTACGTGACCGCCGGCCCGAACGGACAGGTCAACTGGATCGCCCAGGGTTACGGCAACCAGTACGGCCTCGAGACGCAGGTCGTCGCGGTGCTGTACGCCTCGCTCGCCGGCGCCGTCGTCATCCTCACCACGCTCATTCCCGCCCAGGCCAACACGAACAAGCAGCGCGTCGGCGTCCTCCTCTGGGTCGCGCTCATCGTTGTCCTGTACTCGTTCCTCATCCGCCTGTTCAAGATCAAGAACGGCGGCTACCCCTTCGGCCTCTTCTAAGCTACAGAGCCGCCGACATCGTGTTAGACGTAGCAAAAGCGCACCTCGCGCTATTATAGATCAGTATGCATTGCTGAAAGATATCCTGAATCGGTAGATGATACATGAGTGGTCTGCTGTCTGTGGTTTAAGCCTCCTCGCGCTCCTTCGCCGCCTTCGCCTCAGTCTTGAAGCCGTAGTAGTCGCCGATGCGGCGCGTCGCGTACTCCAGAAGTTCGCGGTCACGCTTGCCCTCTGGCGGTGATTGCAGCGTGTGCTTGGTGTCGACGTCAAAGACCATCTCGGGCACGCCATGCGTCAGGAGCTCGCCGTGGTCCTCGTTAACCTCGACCTCGTGCACGAGGTCCATGAGACCGACGAGCTCGTTCAGCTCCTCCAGAAGCTTCGCCTCCTCCTTTGAGCCGGCTGGCGGTGGGTTCAGCGCCGCAAGGGTGTGCAGACGTTCGAGGTCAGCTCGCGAAAGCGATGATGGAGGGATGGAGAGGATCGGAGGGTCGAGCGGAGTGACCGGCTGCTGGAGCTCGGTGAGGGGAACGTTGGGGCGGAGAGGATGGTCGGACGATTCCTGAGAGTAGAACCGTATCGGCCGCGGTACTCGGACTGCACGCAGTGCCCGCAATGTTCGTGGTCGGAGCATGCTTGTCGGCTTGTCGATGGCGAGGTCATGACCGCATCTGAATCTAGAGTCGAGAGAGGGTGGGAGACCTCCACCGGCCGGCGGAGTTCGGGTGCCACACCCGCCGCCTGGTCGGGAAAAAAGTCGCTGGCTGGCGTCTGCCAGGCGGCCTGGCGGGCTTGGAAAGTCGCCCCGACATCTTTCCTCATCACCCATCGCCTCCATGAACCGCCTCCAGCCGCTCCTCCGTGCGTCGCAGCACGCGACCTCGTCGCGCGTGACGCTTGACGCTCTCGCGTCTCTGTCCGCGCGCTCCTTCGCCACGTCCGCGGCCGCCCAGGCGGGACCGCGCCGCAAGCCTGTCGAGGTCGAGGTCCCTCCTCTCCGCTGGGAGCCCGAGTCGCCCGAGCCGTACCGCAACTCGAACGGCCTCGCTGACCGCGCCCCGACGCATACCCTCACCATCGCCTGCTCCGCGAACAACTGCATCCTTACCTTCACCGACCGCATCGGCCCCCTCGTCCCCAACACGTTTGCGGGACAGGCAAAGAAGTTCAAGGGTGCGCAGCGAGGATCATATGAGGCCGCGCACCAGGCTACGGTCCGTATGATTGAGCAGATCAAGAAGGTTGCGGAGGAGTTCAGGCAACGCCAGGAGAAGAATCCGGAAGGTGAGTACTGGCTGAAAAGACGGAGCTCGGAAGGGGTACAGAAGAGGCGCTCGCATTGGCTGGTTTCTTCGCACCAGAGCTTTCGGACTTCAGGACGCGGCGGCGTCTCAATGAGCAAACAGCTAACGATACAGACGTTGAGCGCATGTACATTCGTGTTGCGTTCAAGGGCTTGTTCGGGCACGGGCGCGACGCCGCCGCTACCGCCATCGGTGGACCTGAGGGCGAGGACATCCGTAACCTCATCACTCGCGTTGAGGACCGCACCCCGATCAAGATCGGAGGAACCCGTGCGCGCCGACCTAGGAGGGTTTAGAAGATTAGCAAGGTGAGTACTATTGAGCACTGCCGTGCTGCTGCTGGTGTCATTTCGGACGTAGCTAACATCAGATTAACAATTGTATGCATTTGTTCAACGACTCGCAACACCGATCAAGCAACCCGAACATGATCTTACTGACGCTCTCTGTATCTCTACGACGGTCAACGAACCGTTGGCACTTTCGAAGCCCCTCGCTCTGCATTCCTCCAGGCCGGGGGGTCAAAAAGTCGCCAAAAGAAAGCCAACCCGACGCTCCCACAAGATGGGGGCGCGGGTCCTCTTTTATTCCTTGTTTGTCCAACTTCCACATGACAGCTGAGGTATGCTTAGAGGAGACATTTATAGCCCGAACCACATGCATTCGCACTTGCTCTGCCTACATCGTTGCCCGCGTGCATCACTTCCTGCCCGCCGATTCTTGTAAACGCTGCACTCGAACTGAAATCCAGGCACAGGCGGACGGGCAGCCACCGCTGAAACGCCGAAACCCCGGGCCACTGGGACGGCAGGCATTGCACCCTGCCTGCCTGCTCGCGCTGGGTGGTGAGACGCACTCAGTGAGCTACGAAGGTCTCGACACCGAGCTACGGCACATCACACCACCACCATGCTCCGCTACGCCGCTCGCCCCCTGCGGGCCGCTCGAGGATTCTCGACCTCCGCTCCCCGCCGCGGCGGCCACTCCGGCGCCCACGGCTCCGCCGAGCACGACACCGTTGAGAGTGGGTATCAGACGCTCCGATGACCGAGGGAAGGTCGACGAATACACGACGGACTCGAAACGAGAGACATGCTTGGAGACGGCTCAGAGACGGCTCAGAGAGAGAGTGGCTCCGGTGTTGGAAGAAAGACACAGAGCTGGAGCATGTGCAGGAGGCCGGACAGATGGAGCGAAGGCGATCGGACATTTGGAGACAACATCGTTTCACATGTCCGATCGATCAGCTCTACCTCGTTGGGTGGCTAGATCGAGCTGCTGTACCGGAGGTGTGCCGGACCTGTTCGGGTGTGGTGCAACACGGTCCCACGCAGGTTCCGCCCAGTCGTCCGTCGTGTAGTCGAGCCCGTTGAATGCTACGGGCTTGCGTTTCCAGAGCTAACATGCAGACTTCATGAACGCTACCTGGCGCAACGCCTTCATCGCCATTGCCGCCGTCGCGCTCGCTGTCAAGTACGGCCCCTCGCCGATTGAGGGTGTTTCGGCTTCGCCCTCGGTCTCGAACGACAACCTCGAGAAGGAGGCCGCGGACAAGAACGCGCCGTGGATCACGCGTTGGTACGCCAACAACATGAAGGGCGACGGCAAGCTGTGGGACGAGCGCAACGCCAAGCACCTCGAGCTCACGATGCAAGCCGCCGACACGCGCCTGCTCTACAACGAGGCCGAGCTCCCCCACGTCTACCGCCTCAAGAACCCGTCGTCCTTCCTCCAGGCCTCGCCGCACTCGATCGGCGTCGGAACCCAGGCCAACCTCAACGGCACCGTCATCAAGGAGGACGGATCCCCGGACGTCACCCTCAAGGACGTCAAGATCTAGCACCAACACCCTACACAGGATAGAAAAATGCAAAGCATACAGCAGTACTGAGAGGGACTCACTCACCCGCTACTAACCTATGGCTCACTTCCCAGGTGCGGTTTCGTGGGCGATCACAAAGGCTGTCGAGCGATCCTGCGAGGTACTACGACTGTCACTGTCCCTCTGGCTCTTGTTCCGATACTCTCCCTCATTGTTGCTTCAGTTTCTTCACGCGGGGTGCCAAAGCGGAGATGGGCAATGGCCGGGTGAGGCCAGCGAGGGGTAAAGGCTAGCACCTACCTGCGAGTTCCCTGCTCATTCCGGGCCTGGCAATGGCTCATCATATCTCACGGCGACGTAGAATCAAGCACTGCGTGTTCTGTTCTCCGGCTTGTGCCGCGTTCGCTATGTCGGAAAGCAGTTAGCCATGCTATGGCACGACGGACTGTGACACCATGGAAATCCATAATTCTCGACATCCTGTAGTCACTCACCTTCAGAATGCATCCAGATTGCGAATCCACGCATTGTCAGGAAGCACTCAGTCCTGTTCCCGATGCTGGTCTGTCCCCAGCCTACCCTAGCCATCCTCCAAGCGCGCATGAGGCTGAGCACGACACAGATGGACCACCTACCTCAATAATTACCTGAAACGAGTCTCGGATATCAGGGCACCAGAATTGGGCGGACAGCCGACTAACTCCGCAGCCAATTGGCGCAGCGGTCTAAGCGGACACTGATGGTGAAACGGCTATCATGCATCTTTCCCATCGAGCAAGGATGCGTTAGGGGTTCGATTCCCCTTCAGTGTATCGTTTTTGGGCTCTGCTTGTTCTCATGTAGCTCTCCAGAATCTGCGAACACCCCTGCTGAAGGCAGTGTTCCGAGCCATCCCCCTAAGGGCCACGTTCTGATCTCAAAGAAGGTTTGGTCAGTGTCTGAAGAAGAGTGGCTGGGTAATGGCGGTAACGGCGAGCCAAGTGAGAACTAATGCATCTAAATATCTAACAACAGGAGCCTGCCTTCGGCGGCCACTTGACCTCCTCGTACATGAGCTCGTCCGGGTCTGGGCTTGATTAGCGTTGCGCGTCGAGCAATACTCACAAAGCTTGCCGGGGTTCATGATGCCGAGCGGGTCGACCGAGTTCTTGATGCGAAGCATGAGGTCGAGCGTACCATCACCGAGCTCGTCGCGGAGGTACTTCTTTTTGGTCATACCAACGCCGTGCTCGCCAGTACATGTTCCGTCGAGCTCCTGGGCCTTCTTGATGATGCCGCTCATCACCTTGCTCATCATGGGCACCTCATCGAGACCTCTCATGATGATGGTCGCGTGGAAGTTGCCGTCTCCGACGTGACCAAGGATGGGCGCGTAGATGCCGAACTCCTTGAACTTTGCCTGGGAGTCGGCGACGAGCTCGGGCAGCGCCGAGATAGGCACACACACGTCGTTGCCGTACAGCATGGGCGTCTCGTAGCCTGAGTGTCCGAGGGCAGCGAACAGGGCACCCTTGCGCGCGGCCCAGATAGCAGCGCTCTCCTTCTCGTCCGCGGCGAAGTGGATGTTGCCGCCTCCATGCCGGCCAGCCAGATCCTGGACAGTCTGCGCGCTGTTCTCGAGGACGGTTGGGTTCCCTTGGAACTTGAAGAAGATCGAATCCTTCTCCGGCAGGTTGTTCGGCATGATGCCCGAGTGGTTGAGAGCAGCAACACTGAGCGCGTCAAGCAGTTCAACACACTGCACCTGCACTCCGTCATTGAGGATATCGACCACAGCGTCGACGGCAGCCCTCACGCTTGGGAACGACACGACACCGACACGCGTAGGCAGTAAGGGCGCGAGGCGCACAGTGACCTCCGTGATGATGCCAAGCGTGCCCTCGGCGCCGACGAAGAGCTTGGTCATGTCCGGTCCAGCGGAGGACTTGCGGCTCCGCTGCCTCGTCTTCAGCACCGTCCCATCCGGCAGAACAGCAGTCACGTTGAGGAACCACTCGCCGCGCGCCGTACCGTATCGCACAGAGTTGGTGCCAGAGCATCCCGTCCCGATCATGCCACCGATGGTCGCATCTGGACCCGGGTCGAGCGGCAGGAAGAGGGGGATCCCCTTCTCGGCCAGCTCGGCGTTCAGCGTCTCGTAACCCAGTCCAGCCTGCACGACCGCGTCGCCGTCTTGCGGGTGCAGCGCAAGGATGCGGTTCATCTTCGTCATGTTCACGCAGATGCCTCCGTAGGGCTGACAGTCAGCGTGCTCAACAAACCCCCGTCTTTAGCCGGCACTCACCGCACTGAACTGGCCCTCCAGTCCCGTTCCGCTGCCATACGGTACAACGGGCACGCGATACTTAGTCGCAACCTTCATGATCTTGACCACATCCTCAGTTGTCTCGGGGTAAACAACTGCACTTGGGGGCAGCGCAATGCCATACGTCCACGCCGAGCCACCGTGGTGCGCGAGGTCCTCCTCGTCCGTCGTGATGTGGTCATCGTCAAAGAGCCCCTTCAGGTCGTCCACTGCCGCGGCGTAATCCTCAGGCGAGCCGAATCGGTGTCGCAGTTTCGGATTCGGGTCAAAGGCAGGGTTGACGCTACCCGAAGCGACAGTAGCTGCGGCGACCGTGGTAGGAGCAGCGGCAGGCTTGGCGTCAATGTTGGCCTGCTCCCTTCGTCCCAGAGCGTACGCTGCGAGACCGACAGCCGCGACACCGAGGACGGCGGGTACGACGCGGCCCGCGGAGGATCCGGATCCGGATCCGGCGGAACGCGGTCCGGTAGACGCATACCGCTGGGCGAGCTGGCGCTGGCGCAGCGAGCGCACCGCCTGTCGTCGCAAGTGGAACATTGGTGTGTATGTTGTTGCAAGAACGCAAGGATCGCCGACTATGTGGGCACACGACTTCGACCGCTGCTGCCCTACCGGGGCCGGCCGAGATCTCTGGACGCCGTGATGCCGGTCTTCCGGCCCGGGATTTCCATGTCGTATCGTCGGTTAATTTAAGATTACAGGCCACTTGCTTCGTTTTTTGCGCACGGCTCGCACCGCGACATCTCGCCATCAGCCACTCGCAGCACGCCACTTGAAGCGCGTTTTAACAACGATGAAAGAGGCGAGTGCATGCACAGTTGGACAACGAAGGAAACAAATAGAAAGGGGTACTAACATTTATACTGCAATACTGTCGATTGTTTTTACTACTACTACGGGTCACACTGCAAACGACAGTGACAGGAACTACAAGCAAACCCCTCTCCGAGTGAGGCTCTCGGGCCTCTCGAAATCAACGAAGATTCACACGCGTACGGAAAATGAAAAGAAGAGAGGAGAGTCAACACCCGGAATAGCTTGAGGACATAGGTTGGTTTTAGATCGTTCGGAGTTTTACTCCTTGTTCTTCTTCTTCTTGCCGCTCTTGTCGGCGGGAGTCGACTCGTCCTTCGACTTGCGCTTCTTGTCCTTCTTTGTCGACTGAGGAGTGGTGGGGAGAACAGGGGTGGCAACGGAAGGGAAGACCTTGGCAGCGGTGCCGGCCTAAGATGGTCAGCGACTTGGCATTGCGGGACAACCGGAAACAGCAGGCGTGCCCAAAAATGAATTGGCACTCACAGCCCCGTCATCGGACGAGTCATCTTCAGAGGATGAATCGTCGCTAACAACGTCGCTAGCAACTGCTCCAAGAGTAGCAGGGGCACCCTAACGGTTAGTCACGAGAACGGCTCACCAGGGCAATATCGCCAATATCACCCGCGGCGCTCACCCCCTTGTACGCTTCTTCAGCCACACGGTACTGGGTGGTGGCCTCGTTGTACGCGTCCTCGTAGACCTGATGTCAGTTGAGACGCAACATCAAGATGCTTACCTTACGGGCGGGCTCATCAAGATCCTTCCATCGGTTGGCGATCACACTGAGAACCTCCTTGTAGGGCATGCCAGGGTGGGCCTGGCGGATCTCCTCACGAATGTCGTTCTGGAAGAGGAGGTAGGCAGAAGGAGGGCGCTTGGGGGCGTTGGGGTCCTTGGGCTTCTTCTCCTTCTGCTTGCGAGACTTCTTGTTGGCCATAGCGGCGGCAGCAAGAACCTCGGCAGCACCCATGGCACCTCCCTCAACGGCAGCGAGAGCAGCAGAGGTGGTGAGGGCAGAGGGGGACAGGCGCGCGTACTCCTCGATGATAGCAACGCAGCGAGTCATGGCATTGGCGATGTCCTTGAAAGAAGCCATCATCTGGAAACCGCATCAGCATGCATTCCTTTGGCATGGAAATGGAAGGTTGAGGGGGGGTGGTAAGACGAGGAATGCAACTGCCAACGAGTTTGCGGTTGTTTGGTTCCTGTCGCCCGCCACATAGAGCCCAGCTACCCTGGGTGGGAGAGCCTTGACCTGATTGACCAAGGCTGCAAAGCCCCATACAGAGGTTCGCGGCTGGAGCTCGAGGTGGAAAAGGGTTCGCGTTCTGTATGGACTTACCTCCTGGCGCTTGGCCTCCATCTCTTCGTAACTAGCCATGGCAGCCATGTTGTTGCTGTTGGTGGCGGACCGATAGCAGAGGCGGAAGGCACCATGGTGGATGGCAGCGCGGTGTGGATTGAGAGGCGGAATGACGCGACGGGAGACGTGAGAAAAACGGGTGACAAAACGAGACGATGGCGTGGAGCGGGGACGCGATAGTCAGCACGGTTGAACCAGCTTTCGGCGACGGGGAGCTCACAGGTTGAAGTCGAAGTTGTTGGCGTTTATCTTGAACGAGGTGCTCCGTGGGCAAGAGGTGGTGGATGGCTAATAGGATGTACTAAAGATGTTGTACACGGATGGTGGTAATGGAAGGATTACTAACAAAGATGGGGGGATCAGTAGGAGTAACGAGGGTTCTTAAGAGGGTGTAGTCGGGTGGCCGGTATCCATTTGAGCATTTTTCAGCAGCGCCCCGCCGACGGGACTATATCGATTAACAAACACTATTTTCGATTTGCCCCCGCTTATGTGTTTGGTATTTGATCGCCTAGCGACTGGTCACTTGCCCAAACCGGCACTTGACGCATTACGGCCCAGATGGCCAGACCTCCTTTGGAACTCCGCCCCGCCCATGCCGCCCAGCGACGCACCTAAATACAACTTATTCGGGCGTTCGCAATTCGATTTGGCGTAATATTTGAAATGCCTTCAGATCCGCGATCCGGCTGCGCCTAAACTTTGTAACCTATGCTGCAATTGGTCCCGCTAATCTCTGCTTATGCCCCTGCCCGTATCTCCTTGTGCTTGTATCAACAGGGTAAAGCGCGTGTGCCTTTCGCGTTGCGCGGATCCTAAACGGTGCCGCCGTGAGAGACCACCCCAGAACGCATGACCCTGCCTGCCCGCCGCTGATTGTGTCAACAAACCACGGCAGCCAAACGTCCCACTCCAGTCGGCTCTGCAACTACCGCATACTCACGCTTGTGATCTTCTTCTGCTCACTGTCGCTCCTGTCACACTTCTATTTGTTGTCGCTCGCCTGTTCTCGGCATTGGATCGCCCCTACATCTTCGCATTCTCCCTGCGACAGTCCAAACAATCCGACAACCTTATCTTCCCTCATCGCCTTGGCAGCAACACATCATCGCCCATCTCATCAACCATGTCGGTAAGTAATGACTCCAGACACCACCAACATGAACTAACCTCTTCAGCTTGACGCTCCTCGCCGCCCGGATCTGAAGAAGAAGCTGGTCGTTGTTGGAGACGGAGGTGAGTACTGAGCACCAATTTCTCCCATCCCGTTGCGAGCGTTACGCTGGAACTTCAGACGTGACACTGCCAGACTTTGTCGTCGGCGAGATAAAGACATTGCAGGCACTAACATTACACAGGGTGTGGCAAGACATGTCTCCTCACGGTGTACGCTGAGAACCGCTTCCCAGAGGTGCGTAGAGCGATCATTGGGGCTCTATTGACATTCGCAGACCTATGTTCCCACTGTCTTTGAGAACCTGATCACCACGATCCCGAACCCCCTTGACCCGAGCAAATCGATCGAGCTTGCTCTCTGGGACACTGCTGGACAGGAGGACTTTGACCGACTGCGGCCGCTGAGCTACAACGACACGGATGTTATTCTCGTTGTGTTTGCCTGCAACCACCGCCCATCGCTAGAGAATGTCTATGACAAGGTGAGTTAGAAGTCGTACGGACGCTAACCCACTCCAGTGGTATCCGGAGATGTCACATTTCTGCGAAGACGTCCCTCTCGTACTCGTTTGTACCAAGACCGATCTGCGCCGGGACCAGACAACACTGCAGCTGATGGGTGCGCAAGGCACGAAGCCCATCACGCCAGAAGAGGGCGAGAAGGTCGCCAGGGAAATCGGGGCGAAGCGCTACATGGAGTGCAGTGCCAAGGAGGGAACGGGCGTGCGCGAGGTGTTCGACGCTGCCATTCGCGAGTCGCTCAAGAAGGGAGGGATGCAGGGTGTCACGCGCAACATTGTCAAGAAGAGCGGCAAGAAGTGCGTCGTGTTATAAGCACCACTCATCGAGTGGCAGCTCTCTGTTATCATGATTCACGACCTATTGACTCCGCCTTCCACGCCGCTTGGAGAAGCCTGTCCCGCCGGGGCAGGTCAGCTATACACCCTCCCTCGGACACGCCCACGAAAACAACCAGGTTGTTGTTTATTTAGCATTAGAGAAAGTACCTGCATGAGCTCTTATCGCATACGTTGTGGCCTATAATGTCGCAACATGGTCGCATTCACTCTCTGTCTCTTCTCGCCTTTCTCCATCTTGGAGCGTGATCAGTTCCCATCGTGCACTGGCAAAATGCGTACAACTGACCGGCCAGCTGTCAGGCACGCATCCTGCGACACGAACGCGACGGCCAAAACAAACCAACATGCAGCAAGCTACGGCATTCCCCGCTGTCTGGGCCCAGGCACGCGCCAGGGGTGGTGTCACGTGATGCATTCCGAAGCTGCCGAGCGGTTTCGTCACTTTCGCTACGATTTCTGTGGCTGCCTTGGTCCGGCGGAGGTCGAGACAGTGCGGCGAGGCGCAGGGCTTTGGTTGTTAGGTGCACAAGACGCCGCCGCCCGGCTTGACTTCTACATAACTCTTCACTTCGACTGCAAGACTCCCCGACACGCACTCGGCAAGCAGTCCGCCATCGTCATGAACAAGCCTCCCGGAGACGTCTTCGGTGCCTGGCGCCGGCTCGCGCGCCAGCTGCAGCAGGCCCAGCAGCAAGCGCAGCAGCAGGCGAACCGCGGTGCTCGCTCAAACCTCCGATACGCCAGTGGCTCTGGTGGTGGTGGCTCCAGCGGCGGTAGTGGTGGTCGTGGGCCGAGCCCTCTCGCCGCTGCGGGCGGTGCCGGCCTCCTCCTGGCGCTTGTCGGCGGTGCGGTCGTTGTCAACTCGGCAATCTACAATGTCGACGGAGGACACAGGGCGATCAAGTACAGCCGCTTCTTTGGCGTTATGCCTGATGTCTACGCTGAGGGCACCCACATGCGCGTGAGTACTCAGCTCGCACGTACAGACCTTTGAAAGCTGACGACCAGATCCCCTGGGTCGAGAGGCCGATCATCTACGACGTACGCGCCAAGCCGCGCTCGATCGGAAGTCTTACGGGGACGAAGGACCTGCAGATGGTCAACATTACTGTGCGCGTGCTGTCGCGGCCGGACCAGCACGAGCTGCCTACTATGTGAGTTTAGCTCCGGCTGTTCGATCTCCGGAACCCCCAGTTGGATGTTGCCTCTGGTAAAGCTGACACCCCCAGCTACCGCGAGCTCGGCACCGACTACGACGAGCGCGTCCTGCCCTCGCTGATCAACGAGGTGCTCAAGTCCGTCGTGGCGCAGTTCAACGCCTCGCAGCTGATCACGCAGCGTGAGCTCGTCAGTCGTCTAGTCCGGGACAACCTGACGAAGCGCGCGAAGCGCTTCAACCTCGTCCTCGACGATGTGTCCATCACGCATCTCGCCTTCAGCCCCGAGTTCACGACGGCCGTGGAGGCCAAGCAGGTTGCGCAGCAGGTAGCGCAACGTGCCGCGTTCACGGTCGACAGGGCGATCCAGGAGAAGCAGTCCATCATTGTGCGCGCACAGGGTGAGGCCAAGTCTGCTGAGCTCATCGGGAACGCGGTCAGGAAGAACAAGGGATTCCTTGAGCTCAGGAGGCTCGAGGCCGCGAGGGAGATTGCCAAGGTCGTTGCTGAGGGCGGTAACGCTGTCATGCTTGACAGCGCGGCGCTCCTCCTCGACGTTACCGACAACACGGTACTCACCCCCGCGAAGAAGTAGAGACGAGGCAGAGAGGCTGTTCATACATCAATCATCTAGGGTCAAATGCATTTCATCACCACTTCAAGTCAGTCATGTTAGCTGGCCACGGCTACGTTGCTCTAATAACAATGCATCATGCGAAAATGATCAATGCTGGCTACGATTTTAAGGGTGAGATTAGATGAAGCCCTTCTCAACGGCAATCTCGGCGTTGATGACGGACGAGGTGGCGGCGCCGAGACGGACGTTGTCGAGGAGACAGACAAACTTGAGGTCGAGGACCTTGTCGTCACGAACACGGCCGACGTGGACGCAAGCGCCCTTGTGGAGGTCGCGGTCGAGGCGAGGCTGGGGGCGGTCAGGAGCGTCGTGAACGACAATGTCCTGGGGCGGGGCAGACGGGCAGTGGAGCTTCTGCGCCTCGGACGTGTACTTTCTGAACGCCTCCTCGGCCTCCTCCGGCGTAGGCGCCTTGCCGGCGAACTTGACGGACACACAAGCCATGTGGCCGTCGATGACGGGCACACGGTTGCACGCCGCGCTGACGACGAGCGGCGACGACGCGTGGTACTCGAAGCCCGTGTCGTCCGCGTTGACGCTGCCGAGAATCTTGAGCGTCTCCCACTCAATCTTCTCCTCCTCGCCGCCGATGAGGGGAACAATGTTGTCCAGAATGTCCAGGGACGAAACACCGGGGTAGCCGGCGCCGGAGATCGCCTGCATCGTAACGACGTTGACGGTCTGGAGGGGGCCGAAGGCGACCTCGAGCGCCTTCAACGGAACGACAACGGCCGTCGTCGAGCAGTTGGCGTTGCACACGAGGTATCCCTTCTTCAGACCGAGCTCCTTCTGCTGGTGGCGGACGACGGAAAGGTGGTCACCGTTGACGAGCGGGACCATGAGCGGGACAATGGGGTCGCGGCGGTAGTTCTTGGCGTTCGAGAAGACGATCAGCTCAGCCTTGCGGAACTCAGCCTCTGCGTCTGTCAGCTTGGGCGAGCCTGAATTTATGAAGCTGATAACTTACCGATGTCACCGGCAACGTCGTGGTCAAGGCCAGAGAAGACGACACCGCAGTCCTTGAAGTTCTCCGACTTGCACTCCTGCACGACCATCCTCTTGACGTCCTCAGGAATGGGGGAGGCGAGCTTCCACTTGGTCACCTTGGCGTACTCCTGACCAGCGGAGCGGGATGAGGCGCCGAGCGCATGAATCTTGAAGTACGGGTGCGTCGACAGGAGCTCGATGAAGCTAATGTCAGCTGGGGAACAGGAACCAGTGAGCTCACCGCTGGCCGACAGTGCCGGTGGCACCGAGAATGCCGACGTTGATGGGTTCGCGTGCCATTTTTGGGATGATTAGTGATTGTTTTTGTGGAAAGAAAGGAAGACACGCCTAGAGGCAAGAAAGTTGGACGAAGGTGGCCGGACAGCCGAGTTCCAAGGGGTGGCTCAGATCGGATCAATCGGAGTCAAAGATTACTCGATTGCGGCGGCGAGGTACGGTGAGCGGGCTCAGTGTGCGCTCAGCTTGAGCGTTCGAGTCAGTCAGGCTACATCGGCACGCGGCACGCGGCATACGGGCACCAGCGAGTGAAGCGGGCAGACGGCGGGGAAGATAGAGCGGACGAGTTTCCAAGATTTAAGTCCAGTGATTAGCGGAAGCAAAATGTTGGCTGGGAGGGGGCTTGGTGGAGGTGGAGGGGTGTAACCCGGCATTAGCCGCCCCCTTAGGAAAAGAATTTCCGACTCGTATTCCGATCCCGACTACGCTGCTCCGCCTCTGCTCGTACGCTGAGCGTCCACAGTGGTGCCAAGACTAAGGACCTCCACCAGTGTCGGATAGTCGGCTCAGTCGGGTCACCGTGGGGCAGCGCATTCTGCACACGGGTCCCATCCGCGAGAGATGCCGCCGGGTACTGCTCTTGCGCCATGTTGCCATCCATCGCAATTCTTTGCCTCCCACTAGCCTCTAACCGAACCTTTATCTTGCGACTGATTCTCTCTCTTTCAACCCCCAACTCTTATCTCTTCCTTGTCTTGTTGACGTCGACACTCTCACTTCATGTTCCGATAGCATCACAGCATCACCATTGCATCGTCCCCACCGCCCCCTGCTCCGTCTGTTGTCAACACCACCCTCCCCCCCCCCCCTAATTTCTGCGGCCTCCACTCCACACGACCCGAACGACCACCCGGAGCCCACCGACACACACGGTCACACTACCTCCCGTTCCTCCGTCACCACCACCAGCCACCGCCGACATGGCAAACTCGCACGCTTCCACTGTCGCCGACGTCGAGAGCGGCAAGGCCGAGGGCCAGATCGCTCCCGCTCGGAAAGGCCTCTTTGCGTACATGCAGGAGGTCGTCGATTCGAAGAAGTGCAACCTGATCTCCATCTACGCCTGTTTCCTGACCGGATACACTAGTTCCGTGTCCTTCTCTGCCTGTTTCATCTGGTGAGTTTGCGCGCAATTCTGCCGACTATCCGTGTTCCGGCGTTCCGGGCGGCGCTCCATCGTGCCGGAACATTGCACGAGGGATCGTCGTCCTGCTTGCTGATCACCATGCCTTCTATGGCCCCACTCCATGCACAGAAGGCATGTGGCTGGTGCAACTACTCAGAATCTGCAACATTGCGTGACCAGCACTGACATGGCAGGTGCGGTTTCCAGACCGGCAACGTCGCGCAGCTCGGTATTGCGATTGCGCGCAACTTTGACCCGCTTAGCACAAGAACGTACCACTTCATGAAGCCGGACCAGCAGGCATTTGTGTCCCTCCTGTCCTTCCTGGCGGGAACGAGTCTGGGCCGTATCGGAGACAAGATCGGGCCGAAGCGACGCACATGGCTCGTGCTCGCGACCTTCATGCAGTGCCTCATGACCATGGCCGGCGCGCTGTGTGCCCACTTCGGCGGCGAGTCGCAGTTTGCCGGGTACGTCTTCCAGGTCAGGCGTGAGCCTGGCCAGAACATCACTCCTAAGCCGCAAGCTGACAAAACGCAGAGAGCGCGCCAACCCCTCCTGGACGAATCCGATCAGCATGACGTGTCTCGGCTTCATCTCGGCCACGATCGGCCTGCAGGGCATCATGGGCAAGCGCATCGCGTCGCCGATGAACACGACCGTGGTGCTGACGACGACATGGGTCGAGCTCTTCAACGACCCCCAGCTGCTGGGCCTCAAGCCCGTGCCGAGCCGCGACATCCGCATGGCGGGCGTCTTCATGCTCTTCCTCGGCGGCTTTGTTGCGCGCGCCCTCCTCGCCCAGATTGGCGCCGATGGGGCCCTCGGCGTCCTCTGCGGATTCCGCTTCTTGCAGCTTGTCTGGTGGGCTTTCATCCCGAGCGCGACGCCGGCCTAAGCTCCAGCCTCAATCAAGACGCCGCCGCACACCGCGAAGGACTGTTTCAGCATTGTTCCTTTTTTCCTCTTGACATACCCATATCCATTTTATTCATAGACTTAATTCCAATACCGGCATCTTGATGTTTGGCCACTTTTGTTTGCGACTGGAGCAGATCAGGCACTGAGCCGACACTGACTGAGAGGTTTATCTGCGAGGCCCGCTTGTACACGATCGTTGAACGCACACCCGAGGCAGGAGGCCGCTGGGCACACGAGCAACGTTGAAGACCGCTGATCGCACGAGCGCTGTTGCCCGCATTAAGGAATGTGCAGTAGAGAGCCGACAGGGCCGATCCGGGTGCGGTAGAACAATGTCAGGACCGATAGAGCCGACCTCGCGCGCACGGAGGTGGACGGCGTTGACCGCCCTCCAGAGTGACTTCAGAACCAAATACATATCATACAACCAGATTTACTGAGCAGCGTTGAGCACCTCCCTAGCAGCCTTCGCGTTCTCGAGCGCAGTCGGCATGTCAGAGTGCAGGCAAATGGTGAACTTGCCCTTGGCGGCGGGGATGTCGAGCTTGTTGCCCTGCTTGTCCGTCGTGCTGCCACTCTCAATAAGACTCTGGACCTTCTTCCGGATACCCTCGACGGTGCACTTGTTGCTCATGGGGACGCTGAGGAGCTTGCCGTCCGCGTCGTAGTCGATGTCCACGAAAAGCTCGGGGATGAAGGGCACGCCGAGCTCGCGCGCGACCGTCTCCATATTCGTGCCCGCGAGGCCGACGAAGGGCGTGCCGTTTCCATTGACTGAGATGTGCGCAGTGAGGAAGGCGTGCGTGAGCGCCGCATCGTCGCGGAGCATGAAGTAGAAGGCGCCGTGCGGCTTCACGTGCGAGATCTTGGCGCCCTCAGCGTCCACCATGGCCTTGAGCGCGCCGAGCTGGTAGAGCGTGAGCGAGCGGCACTCCTCGGGCGTCATCGGGAGGATGCGGCGGCCGAAGCCCTTCACGTCGTCCAGACCCGGGTGCGCGCCGATGCCGACGCCGGCCTGCTTCGCCAGTCGCACCATGCGCAGCATCGTGTTGTGGTCGCCGGCGTGCATGCCGCAGGCAATGTTGGCGTAGTCGATCAGAGGGAAGAGGGCCTCGTCGGGGCCCAGAGCCCAGCGGTAGTAGCCCTCGCCCATGTCTGAGATTAGCTTCTCGCATCCCTGGGCAGCAATGCAGTGGAGATGCACTCGCGCCAGCGGCTCTGAGACTCTTAGAAGCCTTCTTGGCATCCTGTGCCGTCGAGCGTGTTCGTGGTTCATGGGCACTCAAGAGCTCAGCTGGGGATGTTCATGGCGACGGACGGTTCGTAGGCTTGAACCAAGCTAGTCGTCTAATCAGAGCGAGGTCATCGTTAGGATCAGATAGATCATCGCTCATACGCTGACCTGTGTTCAAGGTGCAAACAGGAAGGAAGTCTCTGGTGGAGGAAGACTCACCGCAGTTGAGCGACACGCGCTCGGAGAAGTCGTTCTTGGAGACGGTCATGGTGTTGTCGTGTGAGAGTTTTGGAAGAACTGGGGGTCGTGCAGTTCGTGCTGACGATATATTGCTATCGGTCATGCAAGTTGTTGCAGCTCGAGGCGAGGTAAGAGAAGTAGTGCGTTGTGGAGGTGCGATCTGGGGTACGCCGGCTGGAAATGACGTTTCCGAACACCAGCGCAGTCAGATAGGATCGTGCCCGGGACTTGTGCGGTGATTTCCCCAATGCATCTCTCGACATCCATCGTTGCATAGCCGGTTAAGCTCCTTCTGGGCACCGGCTGTATCCGCCTCAGCCTGGCTGGTGATACGCTCAGATCGCGCTCACCTGACAGCGCCCGCTCGCGCCTTGTCTGGGCAGCTGACCGCGCACTGACACTGGCTGTGACTACTGCGTCGGCGCCCCCGACTTTGCCCCTTGCCCCTACCATTGCCCGTGCTCGTTGCCGAGCACGGCGAGTAAACAGCGAAGCGTATGCAGTGGAGACTTGTCCCCCCACGGCGCCCTTGCATCCCCGTCTGCCCCCGGCGCCCCTTGCTGCCCTGTATCGGAGCCCTTGTGTTGGCGCAGCACCTGTCCGACACCTGGTCGACAGCAAGGTGTGGCGACTGAGGGCTGGATCGGGCTGGAACGATAGGGTCGGTTGGCTCGCCAATGGGTGCCAGGGCAAGGTCAGGTGGGCAGCTGGGATTTCGAGATTGGCCACCTGGAACGAAAAGAACGAGAAGCGCGAGGAAACCGACCTCAAAGCCCCGTGGTCCCCGATCGGCTATCTTTCGCGAATTGGACAGCCCCTGACAACACCCACCGTCCCCCACACACACATCGCCTGGGTGCGAACGGACAGCTCTTAGGGCTCCCTCGTCATCACCCATTCATCCCGGAACGTGCAGACGTTCCAGTGCACGGCCTGAGACTCGAATCGTCGCTATCAACGTAAGCCTCCCAGACATCATCTCGCGAGGTCAGTCGCCGAACCCCGCATCTTGCCCCACATGGTGCCTTGTCCCAACGGACCAACATCCGCTCTGCTCGATCACCTGTCTCAACTACGGGTCGTGTGTCTGCGTGTCTGTGTGGGGGTGTGCACGGCACAGCACACACGCACATACGCAGAACAGAGTGGGGAGAGCCGAGGCGCAGTTGTGCGACGCGATACGCTGAACCTGATCGGCTGACGGCAACAGGTGACAGGCCCAAGGCGATCTCTTGTGACTTTTGCGATAGGCCCCAGGTTCCGGTTCACCCGGCCATCTCCTACCCTCTCTAGCCCTTCTTTCCCTCGACATCCTTGGCCGCACCCAGCCAAGCCTCCCAACCTGCGTCTTTTCTCTCCTTCTCTCAACAGACTATAAGACCATCACCCCATCATGCCTGCCCCGCCCTCTTCCTCCACAAGTAACCCCGCGATGACCGTCGTCAAGCACAAGATCCTTATCACGAACCGCGGCGAGATCGCCCTGCGCATCCGGCGCACCGCCGACAAGCTTGGCATCCCTACGGTGGCCATCTACACTCTTGCCGACGCCGGCACGCCGCACGTCTTTGCCGCCCAGGAGGCGTACTGCATCGGCGATGGCACTGACCCGAGGGGATACCTGGACATGGACGCCATCATGGACATTGCGAAGAAGAGTGGAGCGACGATGGTTGCCCCGGGATACGGCTTCCTCAGTGAGAACGCTGTGAGTTCTACTCGGTCTTCCCTATGTGGAGCATCTTGCTCTCCTACATTCTCGTCCCACTAACCCTCCAGACGTTCGCCAAGATGGTCGAGGACGCTGGTCTCGTATTCCTTGGTCCGACACCGCACCAGATCTCGTCAATGGGACTGAAGCACGAAGCGCGTGAGGTCGCGATCAAGGCTGGTGTGCCCATCGTGCCCGGATCGGACGGCGTGGTCGAGGACGTCGAGGAGGCTGTCAAGATTGCGGCCCAGATCGGGTATCCGGTTATCGTGAAGGCGTCCGGTGGCGGTGGCGGTATGGGCATGACGGTTTGTCGCGACGAAAAGGAGATGCGGGCAAACTTTGACGCCACCCGCGAGAAGGGCCAGATCCTGTTCAAGGAGTCGGCCGTCTTCATCGAGAAGTACATTGAGCGCGCGCGTCACGTCGAGGTCCAGGTGTTCGGCAACGGTGAGGGACATGTTATCCACGCTGGTGAGCGCGAGTGCTCCGTCCAGCGACGACACCAGAAGATCATTGAGGAGGCCCCCTGCGCGCTTTTCGCCAGTGCCCGGGGACAGGAGGTTCGCAAGCGCATGTGCCAGGCTGCTGTCGACCTGTGCAAGCTCATGAACTACCGCTCGGCCGGTACCGTCGAGTTTGTCCTCGACGACACCTCGCCCGAGCTTTCGTTCTACTTCCTCGAGCTCAACGCTCGTATCCAGGTCGAGCACCCGGTCACTGAGGTTATTCACCCCGGCCTTGACCTCATCGAGCTCATGATCCGCCAGGGCATGAGCCCCACTGGCTCGCTCCCCGCTGAGGAGCTCAAGCAGGACCCCCTTCTCAACATCGACGGTCACGCCATCGAGGTCCGTGTCTACTGCGAGAACCCCAACGCTGGCTTCCAGCCGTCTCCGGGACAGCTGATGGAGGTCTCCTGGGGAGACGTTGGAGAGCGCGGCCGTGTGGAGACCTGGGTCAAGAGCGGCACCACCGTCACGCCCTACTACGACCCGATGATCGCCAAGCTCATTGTGTGGGCTCCCACTCGCGCCGAGTGCATCGACAAGGCTATCAAGATGCTCGACGAGACTCGTGTCGTTGGCCCTCCCAACAACATCGACTACTGCCGTCAGATCCTCGACACCAAGGACTTCAGTGACTCCACCGTCACTACCACCTGGTGCAGCCGCTTTGCATACCACCCTCCTGCCATCGAGGTTCTCACCCCTGGTATCAGCACCAGCGTCCAGGACATGCCCGGTCGCCACATCGGTCTCGGATTCCCTCGCGCCGGCCCCGCCGACCAGCTCTCGTTCCAGGCGGCCAACCTCCTCGTCGGCAACCCTACCACCACCGAGGGTCTCGAGGTCACCATGTCCGGCCCGAAGCTGCTGTTCCACGTTGACTCCGTCATTGCCGTCACGGGTGCCGACATGAAGGTCACGATTGACAAGAAGGAGGTCCCTATGTGGACCACTCTGCCCATCAAGGCTGGCCAGACGCTCGCCGTTGGCATGGTCCGCCACGACCTTGGTATGCGCGGCTACATCGCGGTCGCTGGAGGCTTCCGCAACGTTGCCGAGTTCATGGGCTCCAAGTCTACTTTTGCCGCTGCCGGTCTCGGCGGTTACCAGGGCCGCACTCTCCTTATGGGCGACCTGCTCGAGATTGGCAAGGCTGAGGTTAAGGAGACCCTCACTGTCCCCGAGAACGCTCGCATCCCTCTCACGAACTCGTGGACTGTTCCGGTTCTCGCCAACGCCCAATGGGATCTCGAGTACCTGTCCAAGGAGGGCATGGAGACTCTTCTCACCGCCGAGTGGAAGGTCAGCACTCTGTCCAACCGCAGCGGACTGCGTCTCGACGGTCCTCGTATCCAGTGGGCTCGTGCCGACGGAGGCGACGGTGGTGCCCACCCCTCGAACGTCATCGACCAGGGCTACGCCTTTGCTTCGCTCAACATCAACGGTGACACCCCCGTTCTCTTCACTGTCGACTCGCCTGACATGGGCGGCTTCAGCAACGTCCTCGCCATTGCGAACGGCGCGGCCTGGAAGACCGGCCAGATGCGCCCCGGTGACAGCATTCGCTTCGTTCTCGTTTCTCCCGACGAGGCGGCGCAGATCAACGCCGACGACGAGGCATGGCTCAAGGCTTGCACGACCTCGTCCGCCAAGCCCTTGCACCAGCTCACCGAGTCCAAGGACATCAAGGACTCGACGAAGAGCTCGGTACTGTACCGCGTCGAGGCGACTGACACCACGCCCGAGCGCATTTTCCGCCAGTGCTCGGACGAGTATGTCATCTACGAGGTCGGAGACATGGTCCTCGACGTTCAGAACCGTGTGCGTGTCGAGCTCTGGGAGCGCGCCATGAGGGAGGCCAACATCCCTGGTGTCCTCTACATGAACGCCTGTGTTCGCAGCAGCATCGTTCACTTTGACCCCAGCGTCATCAGCATGCACGACCTCGTCGAGCGCATGGTCGAGATCGACGCCGGCCTCGGCAGTGGTGAGGACGTTGAGCTCCCCATCACGGTCCACCACATGCCTTGTGTCCCCGACGACAAGTGGACGCACGAGGCGATCGAATACTACATGAAGACTGCTCGTGAGGAGGCTGTCTACCTCCCCAGCAACACCGAGTACATCGCTCGCAACAACGGCATGACTCTGAAGGACGTGCACGACACGCTCACATGCACCCCCTGGCTCGTTCTTGCCCACGGCTTCTTCGTTATGCTTCCGTTTATCATCCCCCTCGACCCCACTCGCCGTATCCTCGGTCAGAAGTACAACCCCTCGCGCACCAAGACGCCCGAGGGTGCCATCGGTCTCGCCGGTGTCATCGGTGCGATCTACCCCATCGCCTCTGCTGGTGGCTACCAGCTGCTCGGCCGCACGCTCTCGACCTGGCAGCCCTGGAGCGAGAGCCACTCGCTGCTGACCAACTTTGACAGCGTTCAGTTCTACCCCGTTTCCGAGGACGAGTTCGAGTCGATCGAGCGCCAGTTCAAGGCGGGAGCCTGGAAGCCCAAGTCGGAGAAGTCGACTTTCAAGATGAAGGACTACCTTGCGATGATCGAGAGCAAGGCGGACGCGACGAAGAAGTTCCGCGCTCAGCAGCGTGCCTGCTCGTCCAAGGTCGGCGAGGAGGAGGAGAAGATGTTCGCCGACTTCCTGAAGAAGAAGGCCGAGGACGAAGCCGCCGGCGTCAAGCCCAAGACGACGGCCGACTTCCCTGGCGAGCCCGTCACCAGCCCGCTCTCGGCCAGCGTTTGGAAGGTGCTCGTCAAGGAGGGCGACATCATCGAGGACGACGAGCAGCACGTCGTCGAGCTCGAGGCGATGAAGACGTCCGTCTTCGTCGCCGCCGGAGACGACACGAAGGGCAAGAAGGTCACTGGCATTGCTGTCCAGCACGCCGACCCGGTCAACCCCGGCATGCCCCTCATCTACCTGGAGTAAAGTGTCAGAAGTTTATATGAAGTATCAGGGTTTTCTATGGACGTATTATGCAGTGATTTTTGTATCTCACCTGAGTATCTTTTGTTGGCAACGCAGCATTTGTAAGGGTGAGCTTTTCCTCGAAGTCTGGTCGAGCAAGTTCTCAGGCCAGCATGTGCCACCACCAGTCAACGCGGGACCAAACCACCATCGTCAGTCACCTCCACCGCGTATCTCGACCGGATCGTCATCAACCTTCCTTCAGCTCCTCCAACTTCAACTCACAGCCATGTCCGTCGACTACCACACCGGAGCGAGCGTGTCAAAGTGAGCTCTCACTGCCTGCTTGGAATAGCTACTAACATCCAGGTCTCTCCCGAATCCGCCAGGATTCGCCGTCTCAGCGGCCGGAGGCAAGGTGAGCTGCTGCGGCGGTAGTAAGCTGACATGACCAGGTGGCGAGCGGAACGACGAAGAAGCAGAATGTCGGGAACGCGAACGAGCTCAAGCTGAAGAGGGCGTGGGAGATGGCGTTTGCGTGAGTATCTCGGGCGTGAGGTAGTCTAGGGTTGCCAGGCTGCCTTCCTCGTCTTCCTTCGCTGGTCCTGTGTGTCATCCGATGTGGCAACCCTCCAAACACCCTATCATATTGGATGAGGGTAGATACTGGAGACAACGGAAGACTCTAAGACTTGGGGGAAGCTTAGAAGCCATGATCATCCAGCTGACACGACAGGCCGGCCAAGTCGCTCCCGATGCAGGCGATCATGCTCTACTTCTCGGGCAGCGGTATCCAGATCTTCTCCCTCGGCATGATCTTCATGCTCCTGACGACCCCTATCACTGCGATCTCGAACGTCTTCCGGAGTAAGTAAACACCACGATCCTGCTCCCTCGGCCTTGCTTTCGCCACCCCTTTCCCTCTGCCCTCGATAAGAGCTGCGTTGGGTCCGCATGTAAAGCTGACACCCCAGCTTTCGAACCCCTCCGCACGACCAACTCGAAGGGCGAGCTGACGTACGCGCTCATCATCCCGCCGATGATTCTGTACGTCGCGTGCCAGCTCGCCGTCTTCGGTCTCGGCCTGTACAAGTGCTGGACGATGGGCGTGCTCCCGACCGGCCGCGCCGACTGGCTCCAGTTCGAGACGCGCCCGTCCCCGCCAGAGTGGAGTGCGGTGCGCGGCGCAGCGCTGAGCATGTTTGGCAAATAGATCTGCGGCGACATAGTGGTAGTGTTACACGGTGATGCATGAGTCTGTATGAGTCTGTATGAGTCCGAAAGTCTATATGCTTCTGCTACTGCTTCTCCTACGAGCTAGAACCACTAGTCCAGGTCGTCGACCGACGTGCCCGCCGGCACGGTGCTTGGGATCGGCCCCGACTGACCGACCATGTCCACTGTCGGCGGTGTCGGTGCCTCGCTCGGCGTCCGCGAGGTAAACTCGAGCTTCTCGCTGAGTTCCTCCTTGCTCGGCGGCAGCTCTATGCGCTCATACACGAGCATGAACACGAGCCCAGCGGAGGCAGCGAGTTCCTCAGCGCCGACCTCCTCGACATCGGCGTCGCTGACCCTCAGCCACCCCTTCCCGGGAACGCCGAGGGGGGCGCCCGGTTTCCGCCTGATGGCGACAAAGTGCCCGCTGCTGTGCGTGTACCCGTAATGCAGGATCGCACTTTCGAGTCGATAAATGACGCGCTGGGGGCCAGAATTGCCGCTGAGAGCAGCAGCGACGCCGCCGACGCCCGCGCCCGTGCCGGACTGCGCGGGCTCGACGCCGCGCGACATGTGCGGCGCCAGATCAAAGAAGATCGGGAAGCTCACCCGCGCAACCTTCTTCAGCAGCTGGCCGTAGGGCGTGTACTCGGAGCGCACGAAGTGGAAGCGCAGCGTCTTGGGCGCGCGCACGACGGCCGTCTCGCGCAGCGACTCTGTGCGCACCGTCTCCCACTTGGCCGCCGCCTCTAATGCCGGCACGCCCGCGGCCAGCTGCTCGCTGGCCGGCTTGGCCGGCTTGGCCGTTGGCGGTCCCGTTCGGAGGCGAGGCGGCGCCATTTGCAGGCGCAGAGGAGGACTTGGTCCGCTTCTTTTTCTTCTTCTTCTTTTCCCCGGATGATGCTGGCGGAATGGCTGGCGCAGAGGGCAGCATCGCGACGAGCTTCTCCTCTGCCGCGGCTTTGACCTCGTACGCTGCCGCAGTCGCCCGCAGCGTGCACATCTCACACGTCACGCCGTCCAGTCGCTCGGGCGAGAGGTATTCTGTGATGCACTCGTCAAGTGTCGTGCTGCCCTGCTTGTCAGTTCTGACGTAGGGATGTTAACTCACTGATCGGGGAACGGGGAGCTCCATGCCGCCGAGACTGTCCATGCGCACGACGTCGCTGTAACCGCACCGTCGGCACACTCGCCGCCGGGCAAGCAGGCCGTCCCACGGCGCCTGCAGGTCCTTCTCGGGCCTGTTCTGGGGAACTCGACGGGCTGCACCATTCTTCAGCGCGCGGACGTCGAGACTGCTGAGATCCAGCGCTTGCCCCAGGCCCCTGGTCCGCGCCACCTCCTTCGCCACCTTTGTCGCCTCGTCGGAAACTGCCTCGGCGAGCACGACGAAGAGCTCGTGCGCGTCCTGCTGTTCCCGTGTAGCCAGGAGACGCCTGACGGCAGGCAATGGGCTGAGGGCGGCGAGTAGCTGGTGCGGTCGCAGTGCTGGCGGCTGCTTGGCGTGACCCGTATTCAGCCGCCGCAGCACGTCGTGCACTGCATCTGTCACAGGGGTCGGGACGTCGGCAGCAGTCGCGAGCTGAATGATGCGCTCGAGGTGTGCGCGCAGGTGCGGGAGAGATGCCCACGCCTGCAGCACGCTGTTCATGTAGCACAACGTGCCGCTCAGGTTGACCATGCCCGGGTACCGGTCGCCGGGCTCGTGTGCCGCCGCGCCAGCATCGATGCCGCCGCGCGAGGACGACGCAAAACTTAACGGACCCATGCCGTCGTCGCGCAGGATGGACCACGCGTACCGCAGGTAGTAGGCGAAGAGGAGGGTAATGAGCAGGCCATACACGACGGTCGGGAGCACGGACAGCTCAAAGAAGGCCATGAGGTCCGCTCATATGCGGCTGGCCTTGATTTGCAGGAGCCGGGCCAGTCGTTCGTAAGCTTGCTTGGAGTCGAGCTCAAGTCGCAACAAGGAGATCACTGTCGTATGCACCGAAACCGCACAACAAGGAGGGTGACAAGGCAAGGAGAGTCGTGTGCTCGTTGGCGGCGACGGAGGTGTAAGCGTGAGCGATGTGAGCGATGGCGACTGAAAGTGTTGGAAGGCAAGGCAATAACGAAATCGAAAACGCAAACGTCATGTTGGCCCGGGCTAATTAGTCTACCCCAGAAAGTAGTGTGACGCCAGCCAACGACCTAAGTCACCCTCACCCCCCTTACCCCAGGCAAGTCGATTGCATCCGTCTTTGTTTGTCTCTGCATCGACCACAACCGACCATGCCAGACGACAGGCTCCAGAACGCCCGCGAGACGCTCGACAGTGAGTTAAATGCTTATGAGTTCAACTGACGTTCAGCGCTGCATGACCTCTCTCAGCTTCTCGGCACTGGTGTGTACGCGACAGCTAATTCAACGGTAGCACAGCTGACTCACGACAGGCCTCGACAAGCAGACACTCTCCATCTGCGTCGGCATGATTGAAGCCGGAGCCAACCCCGATGCGCTCGCTGTAAGTTTCAATGATCAGCGCTCAAACTGATGATAGGCTGTTGTTAAGGAGCTGAGGAAAGAGAAGGAGTAGCTGCGCGTCATCTTCACCAGACGCGTCGCAAACTGATCTAGTCCTCTCTCTCGCTGTCCTCCGACGGACCCCCCCCCTTGTCTTTCCCTCCTCTGTCCCACAGACTCCGCGAACTACACGCACATGTGTATACCCATACTGTTGTATCATTTTGCATACTGTACAGCATCTACTTTGATTTTACGAACACATTAGTCGTGCTTGCGGCTGACGGCGAGCGTGAGGGTGGAGGGGAGCTCAGTCTCACCAACAGACGCGAGGAGCTGAATGCCTCCAATGGCCGCGACGGCAAGGAGAATGATAGTGCCAAAGAAGAGCGAGAAGTGGACCGAGTAGTCCTTCGGCACGACCTTTTCCTTCTTCTTGAGCAGCTCCGCGAGCGTGTCGCGCTTCCACGGCGAGGTCTCGATGTCCTGCGAGGATTCCTTCGGCATAACAACGAGAACAAGCGGCGAAGCGTCATCCATCGTCATCGCCTTGACGCCAGCGCGCACGCCAGAGGTAGCGGTCTCCCACAGCTCGGAACCCTTCTCAACGTCGAGGTGAACGCGAACGGCGTCCCAGTTGCGCTCAGTCGCGGCCCACATCGAGTCGGCAAGGGCGACGAGCGAGGCAAGCTCGTGAGACAGAATGGATCCGGCGCCTGGGGTCAGCTTCCTTTACAACGCACCACAGCTTACGAGAAACGGCAAAGTCAAGGCTCGTCAGGACCTTGCTGACCTCGGGGATATCGCCGACCTTGGCGAGGGCCTCGCGGGCGGCATCAACGTAGGGAGCAAGAACAGAGGAGGCCGTGGACGTCTCCATGGTGAAGGCAGGCTTGGCATCGTCGGGAAGGACCACTGTAAATCAGTTACGCGCGCCATCGTACCAACTTACCCTGGGCGTCGACACCTTCAACGATGACCACACGCGGCCTCTTCTCATGCTGCCAGACGTTCAGCAGGTGTCCCCACAAACCCTCATCCTGAGGAGTCGGGCGGCTCTCGATTCCATCTCCGAGGTGGTGCGCGATGACGACCTCGGCCTGATCGGCGGTGAGCGACGGGGACGAGGAAGAGTCGGAGGGCGGCGGGTACAGGTAGACCTGTGCCTGCTGCGCGAGCGCAAGCGGTGCAAGGAGCAGAAGCGACAGTCCTGGATGGTCAGCTAATGCGAGTGCAGATAGCTTCTGTCGGGACACTCACTCATCGTTGCTGTTGAGACCGAAGTAGACGATGCGGCGATGACAGCGGAGTGGCTGATGACGAGGAGTCACCGTCGGATCAGGAGCGATCGCGGGGTCGTGTAATAGAGCTAAGGAGTCGATAAGGAGACTTTGTAATTCTGGTTCCGCTCCTAATGAGCATTAGGGCTGGGGCTGGCAGCAGCCTGATAGCCACGAGGCTGCCAGGCACCGTAGGCATCCGTGGTTGCCACCCGGAAAATGTTGAATTTCGTCATGACCACCGACACAACTTTCTTCGTCCACTCCATCCTCACTTCTCCACCAGCACAACCAGACCGCCTCGCAGCTCAGCATGAGCGCTCCAACATTTAGAGCGCTGAGGCGTGTATCGCTGCTTTCTGAGCTTTGCGAGGCCGGTCCTTCTCGGCCTCGATCATTGCGAACCAGTGCAGCGCTCGCGGCGAAACCAGTCTTCGGGCGGTTCCCGATGGAGCACGACAAGCCTCTCAGCGTCGAGGCGACCGACAGACCGAAACGGCGAACGAAATACGGGACCGGTGCCCAGCGGCTTTCCTCGCAATATCAGGTCCGCGAGGGCAAGGCAAAGACGAAAGTCTTGCTGAACCAGATGCTCGACGACGGCACATTGCCATGGGACGTGCCGGGAGATGACATGTACGCCGTCTCGGGGGCGGTGAACTGGTGTCTGTCCCATCCATCTGGCAAGCGAGATCGACTTGCTCTGCGCCTAGTGCACACGCACCTGTCGCTGACACTGGAGCCGACACCGCATACAGCGCGCTACCAGGCATCCCGTTCGCACCAGTACGCATGGTTCATGTCGCAGTTCCTCCGCGCCGATGAGCTCACGGAGACTCTGCACAGTAATGCTCAGAGTCTGCTACAGCGCCAAATGACGGAACGCGTCCCCCTCCAGCCATGGATTGTCGGGCGAGTGCTCGCCGCCCTCCGGCCACCATTGAACGACATTCTTCCCCTCCTCCCCGAGCTCGATAACCGGAACTACGCCTCGATGCTCCGCCTCATGATCCAGGATTATGCGCCGTTACCGTCCGAGCTCCGTGAATACGTCGCAACAACTCGAGGACCAGAGGAAGAGTGGAGCTACGACGTGCTCGCCGCGCTGGTGTACTCGCACTTCCCGAGCCTCGACTTCCGTGGTGCCCTCGTTGCGCTTGGCGCTCTGCGCACAAAGGCGCAGAAGGACAAGGCCGCCGCTCTCGAGAATGGCCAACTCTGGCCGCCGACGGACGGTAGCCTTGACGTTCTGAAGACCTCGTACGCGGACGTGATGAGCCTCTGGTCACGATCGCGCTTCCATCGCACGAAGCGGAACCCGCGCCTAAACTCGACCGTGCCTTCGAAGCTAGCCGCGGATCTTGTTCAGCTCCTGCGTGCAGACGAGGAGGAAGTGGAGCTTGCGCCAGCCTTCCTGAACACATGGTTCAATGCGGAGCGTATCGCGGAGAACCACACTAATGTGAACAAGGTGTGGGAGCACATTTCAGGTAGTAGCATCGACGCTACGCTCGAGGGCCACATTGCGCGTCCTGTCGACCGCGACGCCATCGTCGCCTTCCTCAAGTATCTGAAGGTGCACAAGACCGAGGCGGAGCGGCACAACCTCCGCCCCCTGCTTGCGCACCTGCCCTTCCGGGACGGGAGCGTGCTCAACGCCTTCCTCGCCGTGCTCGGCGTACACCCGGACTTGAACCTCGTCATCGCCATTCTGCAAAGCGACCTCTACCTCGACCCGCGCGGCGTGGACCTGTGCTCCGCCGTGGTTATCTATCACATCCGGCGCCTTCTCTCACAGCCATGGACGACGCGGTCAGTCTTCGTCGATGGGTTCAAGTTCCCCATGGACTCGGGCGCGAGGGGGAACAACATCAGCTTCAAGGAGTGGGACTGGATCGCCAAGCTGCTTGGACACCAGGGCACGCCGACGAATATGCCCCTCACTACACCGACGGCCGAGCTCGAGGAGCGCGCCGAGGTTAGCGAGAACCCGAAGTGGAGCAAGTGGTACGGACCCATGTCGCGCGTCGTCGTGGGCAAGGACGCTCTGGACGAGAAGGTCTCGAGAGTCAGGCCCGCTCTCACGGAGGCCATCAAGCACGTCTCCCAGGTCCTGGCCAAGAGGGACGGCGTCGATCCCCTGGTCCTCCAGACGGACCTCGAGGAAGCGCAGCGCCTTATCAAGAGTGCAAACTGAGTGACGGAGCTGGAGTTTGTAGCTGTTGTCATATTATGCATTGCCATTCGCATCTCAACGTCATCGTTCTCTTCCTCGCTGTAACTCTGTGTGTCAGTCAAACAATGTGTGTCTCAGCCGTTCCGCTCAAGTGAATATGGTGCATAATGTCTACAGATGGTCGTGAAATGAGTGTATTTACAGAACTGCAGTTAGCTCGATGTCATGACACTTTTAGCTCACTGGCATTGACAATGTTGCCCGCGATGGCGGAACCGAATCCGAATCCGGCACCCGTGACGGCGGCGTTGCCGAGCTTTCTTGTTAGCATGAAGTTGTAACTGAGAGGAATGGACGTGGGGAGAAGTGGTATCTCGTGGAGGAGACGTTGCGCTGCCCGGCAGTACACGCCTCCTGCCTCCGAGGCTGCGCCGTCGTCTAGCGACGATAGGCGTACAGAGGTTCACATCCTTGGACAAGGCAATACTCACCTGGCCGCCCATCTTGCCGAACTTGCCCTTCTTCTCCTCCTGGGGCTGGACAATGACGGTCTGCGGCTGCTGGGCCTGGTACGCCGGCGCCTGGTATGAGGGCACAGGGGCGTACTGCTGGTACGCGGGGCCGCCGGGCGGCTGGCCGTAAGCAACGCCTCCGGGAGGCTGGTACGTCGAGACCGCCGAGGTCGGCGCCGAGCTCTTCTCACTCTTGCTGTCTCTATTAGCTACAAGAAGACATCGTCAGAGCTTGCCACTTACATCTTCTCGACGTAGTTGGCGGGGAAGAGGCCTGTCTTGGGAGCGCCCTCGACACGGCCACGGAACCACTGGTCGTTGACCTCCTCGTCGATAATGATGGTGTCTCCAGCGCGGAACTGGAGGTCGTCCGCCTCGCCGCCCTGGTAGTCCCAAAGGGCACGGGCGCGGTTGACCTGGGGCTCAGGTGTCGACCTCACCGGGAGCGCGGGAACCATTGCTTTCTCGTTGTGGGAGGGCGACGGACTGGCGCCGGTGCCGTTAACACTGAGGGCGTTCATGGCCTTAGGGAGGTCCGTGTCTGCCGTTAGCTAACGCAACATGCTGTTGAAAAAGCTCGGCGCCGCCCCATCCTCAGAACAGGTCGGACGCCTCAGTGGCCATCATGGCAACCACAGAGCACAGAGCCGGATACCCACTGCCGGTGGAGGCCGCCGTGACCAGCGACGGGAATGTCGTGTACGGATTCGGGAGCTTGGAGCGGATAACCTCGGCGTCCGCATGCTGGATGAGGCCCAGGCTCTCAAGCAGCTGGACGCTGGAGATGGTCTGCGCGATGAGATGAGAAGCCAGAGTCTGGCCGGGCTGCTGCTGGCTCATGGTGGTTAGGGGTGTTGACGTGTGCCTTTACTGGAATCGGTTTGTTGTGACTGATTTTCGTCCGCGCGCTTGTGAGTTGTCACAGTTGCTTCACCGAGACTGTCGAGAAGCTGGTGACCAGATGTAAAGAGTGTTAATGTCGTGCGCGCAAGGGGTACGCTCCAGGTGGGTGAGAAAGAAGAAGTATTGAGGTATGAGGTCAAAGTTACTTGTGGGAGGGCGACGGACTGGCGCCGGTGCCGTTAACACTGAGGGCGTTCATGGCCTTAGGGAGGTCCGTGTCTGCCGTTAGCTAACGCAACATGCTGTTGAAAAAGCTCGGCGCCGCCCCATCCTCAGAACAGGTCGGACGCCTCAGTGGCCATCATGGCAACCACAGAGCACAGAGCCGGATACCCACTGCCGGTGGAGGCCGCCGTGACCAGCGACGGGAATGTCGTGTACGGATTCGGGAGCTTGGAGCGGATAACCTCGGCGTCCGCATGCTGGATGAGGCCCAGGCTCTCAAGCAGCTGGACGCTGGAGATGGTCTGCGCGATGAGATGAGAAGCCAGAGTCTGGCCGGGCTGCTGCTGGCTCATGGTGGTTAGGGGTGTTGACGTGTGCCTTTACTGGAATCGGTTTGTTGTGACTGATTTTCGTCCGCGCGCTTGTGAGTTGTCACAGTTGCTTCACCGAGACTGTCGAGAAGCTGGTGACCAGATGTAAAGAGTGTTAATGTCGTGCGCGCAAGGGGTACGCTCCAGGTGGGTGAGAAAGAAGAAGTATTGAGGTATGAGGTCAAAGTTACGGCCGTGAACTGTGCGGATCGCACAAGTGGCAAACGGCGGGACGGAACACACGTAGCCTGCTATATTTCACGTGCTTGGCGTCGTACCAGACACAAACTTAGGGTATCGGCCGCCCCTCTTTCATTAGAAACTGACGCTGACAATCATACTGATGCTCCGCGCCTCTGCATGCTTCGTCAATCTGCGCACCGCATTCCGTGGGAGTTTTATTTCGTTCCATAGCTATGCTATATCTAGTAGACGGTGATGGTGCTCTCGCGAGCAGGGCCGACACCAATGTACTGAACCTTGACACCAAGGTAGTTCTCGATGAAGTGAACGTACTTCTTGCAGTTCTCGGGGAGAGCCTCGAAGCTACGGATGCCGGTAATGTCAGACTTCCAGCCGGGGAGGGTCTCGTAGACAACCTCGACCTCAGCGAGGCGGTCAAGGTCGGCAGGGAAGCCCTCAATCTCAACACCGTCGAGCTTGTAGCCGGTGGCGACCTTGATCTCGTCAAAGCCGTCCATGACGTCAAGCTTGGTGAGGTTGATCGAGGTGTAGCCGTTGATCATGGTAGAGTAACGGCAGACAACAAGGTCGAGCCAGCCGCAGCGACGACGACGGCCGGTAACGGTACCGTACTCGGCACCCACCTCCTGGAGGGTGGTACCGACGTCGTTGAGCTGCTCGGTGGGGAAGGGTCCGCCACCGACACGGGTGGTGTAGGCCTTGATGACACCAACGGCACGCTTGATGGCGAAGGGAGGAATACCAAGACCAGTGCAGACACCGCCAATGGTGGTGCTGGACGAGGTCACGAATGGGTAAGTTCCGTAGTCAATGTCGAGCATGAGCGCGTTGGCACCCTCGACAAGGACCTTCTTGCCAGCGGCAAGCTTCTTGTGCAGCCAGGTGGGGCCGTCGACGACGTGGGGGCGGAGACGCTCGGCGAAAGCCTGAAGCATCTCGATCTCGCCCTCAGTGTCGAACTCGAAATGGCCGTAACGCTTGAAACGTCCCTCGACAAGCTTGCGGAACTTGGCGGGGAACGTCGGGTCGTAGAGGTGGTGAACACGGAGACCCGAGCGCGAGGCCTTGGACGAGTAAGCGGGACCAATGCCCTTCTTGGTGGTGCCAATAGACGAGCCACCAAGCTCGATCTCCTTGAGACCGTCGACGATCTGGTGGAAGCCCATCACAAGGTGCGCACGGTCCGAGATGAACAGACGGTCAGCGACCTTGAGTCCTGATTCGTCAGTACTCCGATCACCAAACAGCCAGACAATTCAGTGCCAAGAGTTTCGCACTACGGCTGGCGTGCTGCTTGCGTGCAGCAGCCATGAGGTCAACTCACCCTTGCGCTCGAGAGTGTCGAGCTCGTTGAAGAGCGAAGGGACGTGGACAACGACACCAGAGCCGATGAAAGCCTCAACCTTGGGGTTGATCAGACCCGAAGGAAGGAGGTTGAAGGCGTAGGTGGTCTTCTCGCCCTTGTCATTCTTAACAACAATGGTGTGACCGGCGTTGTTGCCGCCGGCGCAGCGGGCGCAGACATCTGCGTCCGCTGCAAGGATGTCGACAAGTTTGCCCTTGCCCTCATCGCCCCACTGGGCTCCGAGGCTGGATGTCAGCGGTTGCGCGGCAGGGCAGTTGTGGACCGCGCGGAGTAATGAACGTCCGAGAAGGAACAGGGAGAGGACGAAGCTCGTTCCCAGAACACATCTGGTTCAAGGTGACGACCTCATGCGTATCGCCCTGGCACCCATGTCGTTGTCGACACCTGGGTCGCCCGCTTCAATGTACAAGCGGGCCTCCGGACCGGAAACGTTCAAACAAACTCGCCGATCTCGAGAAATACGTACACAACGGTAACCCCTTCCGGAGCTGGAATGTCAGCAGAGGTCCAAGTGTCACTGGTGCGAGGGTCAGCTTACCTTGAGCCATGATAGGGGTGAACGTCGTCAGGACGATGCAAAGAACAAACGACAAGACGTTGGGGCTGAAGGCCCGCAGGGCCGACTCGTCCAGCTCCTAGCACGCCACAAGAAAATCCACTCCCATCGGACCTATACTCCGACTCAATGAAATGTGCGTAGTCACCGGTCTCTTTTACACGTCACATTTTGATACGGGTTTTGCCACGCGCTATGGCAAGCCATGCAGCCACGCTCGACTCGGCTATGTGAGTACCTGGGCCGCCCCATATCTTCCGCGATTCGTCGGTCGGCCGCAAGTACGACATCTGCGATAGGCGATCACTTTGATCAAGCGGGTCCCATCGATCCGAGCCGTCATCTTGCCCGCACAGATCAGTGTTGACACCTGCTGGACCCATGCTTGTTGGCTGCCACAATGCACTCAAAATTGTCTGCCTACGTCTCTACTGCATGCATGCCTTTTATCTACGGCCCGTTTATCATAGTCTACTATAAACGAACTGTTTAGAGGACGCCAGCCTCCTTGATCTTGGAGACAAGGTCGGCGACGGACTCGACCTGCGACTGTCAGCTCGGCACTAGCACAGAGAAAGCTCACCTTGCCACCACCCTGGCGCTCGGGAGGAGACGAGACGGAGATGGTCTCGAGGCGGGGGGTGATGTCGACACCGAGGTCCTCGGGGGTAATCGTCTCGACCTTCTTCTTCTTGGCCTTCATGATGTTGGGCTGCGGGGTCAGCTGAGCTCATTATGCAAGTCCATTCCGCTTGGATACGCACGAGGGAAGCGTAACGGGGCTCTGCATTGTCAGCTATGCTCCTCACACGATGACATCGCAGCTGAAAACACGATTGCGGATGTGGTCGTCATTCCCGAGTCCGTTCGGGCAAAGAAGCCGAAAGGCGAACTTCCACCCGCAAACCCGCCAACAGCCGCAAAAAGTGCAGACTCACCGTTGAGACGAAGGTCAGTGGTGACGATGAGGGGAAGCTTGGTCTTGAGCTCCTCAAGACCACCGTCGATCTCACGGGTGACCTTGGCGGCACCGTCGGCAGAGACGTCGAGCTTCGAGGCGAACGAAGCCTGGGGCCAGTTCAGGAGACCAGCGAGCATACCACCGGTGGCTCCCGAGTCGTCGTCGATAGCCTGCTTGCCGAGGATGACAAGGTCGATCTTCTTGTCGCCCTCACGCTCGACGACCTTCTTAATGGCCTCGGCGACGGCAAGGGGCTCGACAGTAGCGTTGTCGGGAACCTTCACGTGGATACCAGTGTCGGCACCCATGGCGAGGGCAGTACGGAGGGTGTCGACGGCCTTGGCGGGGCCGACGGTGAAGGCAGTGATGCTCTGGACGAGGTCCTTGTCCTTCTCGCGCATGCGGACGGCCTCCTCAACAGCTATCGGGTGTCAGTCGGCCGGACCTCGGCTACCGTTTCAAGTTGGGCCCCAAGAGCTCGCTGAAGCTAGCAGAAGGGCTCAACTCGGACAGCGAGAGCTCAACAGAGCTCCTCGCCATCTATCTCAGGTACTCACCAATCTCGTCGAAGGGGTTCTGCAAGTCAGTGACTGTATCCGTACTCGAATCCTAGACATCGCGGCTGGTCGAGCCGGTGCGTCTCGGAGCTCGTTTACTCACCATCGAGTGCTTGACCGAGGTGTCGACGCCCTTTCCGTCCTTGGCAATGCGGACCTTGACGGCATAGTCGATCGCGCGCTTGACGGGAACGAGGATGTGGACGAAGTTGGCACGAGTAGGGAGCATGGTGGAGTCGGAGGGGGGTGGATGAAAGGTAAAGATCAGCGAGACAGCGGAATTCAAGCAGCTGGCTATCTAGAAGGCGGGTCGGGTAAGACGCATCGGCTAACGAGGACCGGCGGGGGCAAAATCGTTCTCTCGGCCGCACCTTCCCAAGTTCCCCAGTGCCGAGGCGAGGAACTAGGAACGGAGGCCGGATGAGGATCTGAGGAGGGGCTCCCACGTGAAAATTCCAAAGCTTGATCCACGTCACGAGTTGCCCGTAGGCGCGAGCGGTGGTTAGGCCTCCTAACTGCCACGAATAGGCGCCAGCACGAACATGTCTCCAAATCCTATTGCCCGTTCCACTCCGAAGGCGCCTCCAACCACAGTGCTCGCTCAAGCTGGCCCCTTCACCAACGACCTCTTCTTCTCTACACACCACTCTACCCCCCGAAACCACACCGCAAACATGGCCGTCGCTCCTATCACTGGCATGGTGCGTAGGACACCGACAACGCGACGACAGCGCTGACTTTCGCAGCTCAAGAAGCGCCTCCTTTTCGACATCGGTGCCGGGTATGTGTCGAATCAAAATCAAGGAGATTCAACTCGACATCTCGTCACACCGGCACACGGATCAGATTACTAACATGTCACAGTCTCGGTCTCGGATTCGCCGGCGGCTACGCCTTCTGGTGAGTGTGGAAGGGCAGGATAGTTGGTACGCGGTGTGCATGTGCACGACATGCTTGTTGCGCTTCCGAAAGACGGAATGAAGTCACGCGCGAGCGGTCCGACGAGAGACTTGTGCACATCGCCTCCGCGCACCACGAACATTGCCCTGCTCGGTGTATGCGCATGATAGCTAACGTGCAGGTACGGTGTCCACGTCCCCATGAGTACGTATCGAAGCTCCGAGCGCCGCGACGCATTCCGAATGACATGACGGGGGTGGACAAATAGTGGCCCGGGTCAGGCCCACTTGCCCAAGCCACGGTCAGCCATGTCCCTCGTCATCGACCCGAGGATCGCGTGAACGTTTCGGCAACCGACAGCTTTGCCTCTCCGTTCAGAAAGCTAACCCCTTCACAGTGAAGAAGCGTGACAACTACTACGCCAAGCTCGACGCCAAGAAGTACGGCAAGGACGCTGTCCCCACCGACATCCTCCAGGAGTCCGTCAAGAACTAAATGGAGCGAGGGGCATTGATACAAAATAAATGAAATCATCATAAGCTATCTGCGTGGGACAAGGCTGGACGATGCGGGGGTTGAGGCGCGGAGAAGAGCTATGAGAGTAAAGGCGGAGAGGGACATGAAGGGTTCCAGTTCACGGCAGAGTCGCAAGGGAGTGGAAGAGAGACCGCAGTGCGTCGGTGCAGGCAGAGAGTGCTGTTCCGACGTTGTGCTTGAATTCGCAGTGAGGAGGCGTTGCGCGGACACGGGTGACGAATCGGCCGGCGGAGTGTTGTGTGAAGTTGGTCGCGTATGATGTCAGGTGCCATCTGTCAGTTACCGCTGAGATTCCAGCAGACTATTTCTACATTCCTCTGCTTGATCACCACACTATCGTGCACTGACTGATCACCGCGGCCTCAACCTGCTGCTGCATGTTCAGATTAAAGCAGATACATCTAATACTATCAACTATGCGAGAGCCTTCTTGGCCTGCATGTTCTCAGGCCAGTCAGAGTTCCTGGGTGTCAGCTACTTGCACACAGGTCGCGAAGCTCTCTCTCTCTCTCTCTGCCGATCCCCCACTGAGCTTGACAAATGCTCTCTTCATCTGGAAAGCTTGCTCTCGAGGTATGCGCAGCAGTCCTTGCTGCACGGCGCAACGCGAGAGGGAAGACGAAGGACGGCAAAACAGCTTCCTGATACTCACGAGTCGTCCATGTAATCGTCAAAGTCTACGAGCGACTTGTGTGCACCACCCTTCTTCACGGCCTGAATCGCCTTCTCGCACTCAGCCTGCGACGGGAACGTGACCTGGGCGGCGGAGACGTAGATCGGTTCTGACGTCGCGAGCTTCGAGTTGTCCAGCTGGAGTTAGCTATTAGCATACCTGTACCAGCATCCCCGGCAGTCCAGTTCCATGCGTAAGACCGAGGACTTCAGCCAGACATGGTGTGCCCTTTCGGCTGGCTGTGCAGCGCCATGAAGAGGAAAAGGAGTAGTCGTGGACAGCGGAGGAAGGTGACCACTCACAACAAGACCGATGGCACTCGGATTCTCCTTCCTTATCGTCTCGAGCAGCCGCTCCGCAACGCGGGGAACCTTTGTGCTCCCATCCTCGTTTGCAATGTAGACGCCCGCAATAGTCAAGCCGTTGTCCTTGGCGTGCGCGCGGACGAAGCGCAGCGCGGTGTCGATCGTGAGCGAGAGGGACGCATACCGGTGCAGGATCGGAAGAGCTTCGACGATTTCGGCTCCGCGCGCAAGAAGCAGGCCGAGTACGGTCGACGCGGGGTGTCGCGCCGCGTGGAGAAGCGGGAGGGTGTACGCGGACGCACTCAGCGTGACGGACATGGTGGTGTGGGATGACGAAAGGAGGTGAGCTGGATTGGAATCTGGTGGTTGAACAAGGTGGAGGTTGGCACGCGTGGCGCCGGATACAGTGGCCGATCGGATGACTGACTTTTCCTTCTGCAACGGACCGACGTAAAACATCATCACCAGTCACTACGACCCTCTCAGTATCTGAATGAGCCCCCTGTCCTGCACAGTGGTGTCACGGAGGCCGCTCGCCCGTTTGCTTGCACGGGCACTGTTCCCTGAAGCCCAAATACTCTCTACTGACCGACAACACAGTCTCTTCTTTCTTTCAAACGATTCTCCTGTACTTGCAACTGAACGCGGAGCTGTATGAATGCATGAATGGTATAAATGTTAATGAGTGCGTCCCTCGGCCCTGTTTGTTAGTTGTGCACCTCCGCGGAGCCACAACTTACTAGATAATGAACCCAAACGCGAGAGAGGCTGTTTACTTCTTCTTCTTGCCCGCAAGAACACGCTTGCCCTCGCCTGTGATGTTAGCTCGACACAACGGTTTCTGGAGCTGCAAAGAACAAAGGTAACTTTCAGGTACATGGAAGATGCCCCGTGGAGCAGCAGAGTCTGCCTTCCCTCTGCGTCGTCCTGACCCTCGCCGAGTCACAGCTCCCTCACTGCCATCTGCGAACTCACCCTTCTTCGGCGCCGTCTTGCCGTTGGCCCGCTTGCCGTCCAAAACGTCGAAACGGACGTACTCGTTTGCGTCCTCGATCCAGTGCGACCTGTACTTCGTAATGTTCGACGGACCAGGGCGAGCGGCACGCGGGACCTCAACAAACTCCACATTGGCGGTAGACGGCGGCACGACCATGTCGATGGGAAGCTGGGTGTCGTATCCGTCGTCTCCGGGGCGCGCAAGACCCTCCCAGCCGCGGAAGTTCTTGTCGTTGGCGAACACACGCATCGTCGGGCTCTGCACGGCGTACAGGAGTGCGTTGTCGGCACGCAGCCGGCGCTTCAGGTACTTGGCTCCCGTGCGCGCGTTCGAGGTGACGGCAGCCGTGTTGAATATCGGACTCCGCAGGCTCGAGAGCAGGTAATGCAGGCTCGGGCTCGACATCGTGGCGTGGTCGGTCGTCGGTCTGGCAACAAAAGTCCGGCTGAGCCCTCGAGATCATCGACTTTGCAGCGGAAAGGAATCAGGCACGCCGTGATTTCGTCCTTCACTAATGACACGTCAAGTACCACGTGACTGTCACGTTCGATATCCAAATCGACGGATGCTGGAATTCATGCAGCAGATCATGCAAGCCGAACTCCCATTTACCTTCTCTGCAATCAGTGGTGAGCTTTCCGTGGACTGCCCATGACAGTACCCGGAGTTATTGGCAGAGATGCGGTATGGCTTCGAACACGGCGTGGTAGTCAGCGACAAAGGCACATCCACCAACGATAGTCTTCCTTTCCCGATTCAGCTTTCATGAACCCCCTGTCGCTCCGTCACCAAGCGCATGATTAGCACAAGGAAGGCGTCGAGCACTTGTTCCGAGCAGAGTGAACAAAGGATGGGATGCGCAAGGGTCCACAGGATTCACTGCGCCCTCGTTGCCCGTTCGCTCGGCGCCCCCCTTGTGCCCGACTTCGTACAAAGGGAGGAATGTCGGGCGAGAGGTCGCAGGAGACCTTGCACTGCTCCTTCCGACGCCCTCGACGCCACATCTCGAGCTGCTTCTCGATTCTCGACTCCTTTCGGGGCAAGGAGGTCAAGTGGGTCTGCATGCGTTGCCGGGCCACACACCTAATGACCGCAGAGCAGGTGGCATGGGAGGATCTGAGCAGCGAAAGAGGTCGGCATGAGGCGATATGAGGCAGAAGAACAGAAGGTGCAGAGGCGATCCGGGCTTTCGGCGCTACCCAAACTAGCAAAATGAAGGATCTCATGATCACATCACACTCTGCGCACTACGGCTCGGTCCGAAGGGTACGCAGGGCCCTGGCCCCGAGTGGAGTGGACGGCTGATCACCCACACAAGTCATACAACACATACACACGACAAAAGCAGGATCGCTGTGTTTCCCGCCGGTTGAAGAACACTGATTCACACACTGCAGACGTCGCAGTGTACTTGGGCACACAACATGCTGTAGTCTCGCCGAAAAGGAGAACCGAGGCGGTCGCGATGCGGCGAGGTTCAGGTGTCGGCGAAGCGCCATGTGCGCCCTGTCAAGACAAACGAGGGTCGCGGGGGCAGGGAGCGTGCGGTGGCGTCCGGAGGGCCTCCTGTCTCAGGTGTTTCGAGGACATGACGACGTGCACAGACCTCCATCACTTGCATGACCCACCGTACACACCGCCAGTGGCCAAGCTTTTAGTTTGCCTTCCTGTCGCACACGGCAGCGAGCGACGAGCATGCGGGCACACTACCAAGATGGATCCTCCACACTCGTGCTGCACACCAAGCACGGGCTTCCTCGAACACTGATTTTGCTTTCTGTCTCTTCCTATCGATTGCTTTATCCTACTCCACCCTCCTTTTTCCCTTCTCTTTATCTTACGTCCGCCTCTTCGTCAAGACTTCTCGCTATCATTCCCAGCCAGTTGACGAGCGTCTTCCCCCCAGCCCCCTTGTGCGAAAGATCGACCTGACGGTGCCGCCATTCGCAGCCGACACAGCGTGATCTGCCCCCCTTCCAGCCCTTCATCTCAGAACCAGTGTTCGACGGCTGCTGTCGCCCGATCAAACAGCTTCCTTTATTTCTACTCTTCGTGAAAGCACTTCTCCTCGACGGAGCGGCTCTCTAATCTTTCTCACCAAGAAGCGCGATGTCTGTCTCTTCGACGGCCACGGCCACGACCCTCTGCAGCACCCTCTCCGACTTTCAGCCCCACAGACCCCCTCGTTCAGGGCTCCGAATCACGATGCCTACCGAGAACTCGACCACTTTATCACCTGATTCGTTAGAAACGCCATCGTGCGAACACTCGCATCGGTCTCTGGCACACGGCTCTACGGACGGCCTGCTGCGCACGAGCGAGAGCTCTGACGAATCGTTCAATGAAACAGCGGAGTCGCCACCGCCGCGGACGCCGGCGACGCCACAAGAGTCGCAAACTGGAACACTCCCAGCGACAGCGACTGTCGCACCTCCAGTCAATGGCCCGACGAGACCTACCGCGGCCCATCTGAGGGCCAAACGCAAGCCAGTTCCGTCGGTTATTGACCTCTTGGGGTACGATCCGGGTCCCATGCCGCCTCCCCCTATGACACCTGCGACTCCGGGCACCCCTGGAACACCGTTCATCGCTGGACACAATGGTGGAAACCGGTTCACGATCGGTCCCTTGGCCGGTATTGACCTGCCCGATCTCGACGGAGACCAGAGGAGTAGTGGGCATAGCAGCAAGTACTCCGGCATCACTCTGCAGAGCGGGAACCCCAGTGTGCTGTCTCTGCCGATGCGGGTGCTCGAAGTCGATCGACCGTCCCTGGAGAGCACCCGGAGAACGCCAGTGCGACGGAGCACCTTTGACTGCTACTCGACCTACACTTGCAACTACAACAATAGCAAGCCCGACTTATCACTGGCGAGAAGCGCGACAGAAGGCAACGGCGAGAGCATTGTCCCACCACCCAGGCGTCAGAGCCTTTACAAGAGCCGAAGTGGCAAGAAACTCTCGGCCGCGACGGAGCTGGAGGAACTGCGACGGATGACCCACTACGCATCGATGGACTTTGACACGATCAAGAGGCAGAACCGCGCCAATCAGTCGAGTTTCCTCGTTGGCGACAATGACTCGGACCAGGGCAGCATCAACTCGAGCCCCGACGGACTGGTTACCAAGCGTTTAAAGAAGCTCAGCCTGAAAAAGAAGAACACCACGAATTACACGAAAGCGTCCGCCAAGCTTTCGAACACGATCGAGGAGAAGCAGCGGGAGCAGCCCAAGGGTTGGTTGGAATGGGTCTGCGATGTGGTCCCCTGCTTGCACCGCGAAAAAGTGAGCTTATGGGGAAGCCGACACAGCTGACATCCAGGACAGCAAGCCACACACTCATGCCCTGGTGCACCACAAGTCGATGAGCCAGGTGAGCTTAGGCGAAGCGTGCCAGAGCTAGCTAACAGACAGCCCCGATCACAGCACCCACTCAGCCACGAGTGCCGGTAACCTCCCCAAGCAAGTCTTCTCCTTCTCAACGCAGTGCACGGGCACGAAGCGCGCGCTGTGCGCCGATTACAGTTCTTCGAACGCAACCTTGGCTATGTTCATACAGTTTACGTACGCCCCGTTCCAGCACAGTGTTCTTGTGTCGTTTAGATTACAGCGGGTGACAGGACGCCTGTCCCTGTTGCCCATCTCGTCCTCCATAGCCTAGATGAGCGTGCATGTACAGATAGTCATTAGCAGAGTCCAGCCTCGGTCGGTGAGAGGGGCGCATCATAGTGCAGGAAGTGATCGAGGAAGATCTCGATCTGCCACTATGAAGTTGCTCTGTGTGGGGCGCACATGGTTTCAATCAAGCCCGCGTGGCCCGCGATGAGGTCACACCAACCCGGCTTCTTTTCAGGAACGAGGTCCGGTGTGCCCTTCGTGCCCCTTTCCTCTTGCAAGGAGTACTTCGGCTGATCGTGACGGCAGGTGCTGCGGGGGTGTCAGGTCCGCCAGGCACGGGCAAGCAGCAAGGCAGCGCGCCGACGCAATCCTCGAGCCGATCTTGTAGCTTTGCGGCGGCGGACTTTCTAAGCATCCGACATGCGTCAAAGATTAGCACACCGTTGCACGTTTTGCAGCTTCACCTCGGTTCACCAGGACTTCACTAGTAGGGAACAGACTCGGTCACACCTCGGCTTCAAAGACCTCGAGACCGCGCCAGAAGCCACATCACATGTGCACATAAGCCAAGGCGTATGTTAAATACGATCGCCAGCGGTCTAGCTGGCCACACACGGCTGAGGCACGACTACAGAGAGAGAGCAGCAACAAACATGCACACGAGAGTTAGTCGCTGTGTGGGTCGAGGTACGAAGCCCCTTTTGTTGGGTTTGGGAGAAAGAGCGGGTTGTCGAGACGAGACGCCAGACTGAGATGGACAGCTGGAGTCGGCACCAGATGGCCAAAGGGTACGGCACCAGCCCAGCTAGCTAGCAGCCTAGCAGCCAGAGCTCGGAGAGAAGAAACATGCAACGCTTCCAGGCACGATACTCGTCTGGGGAACTTTGGAGCAGGTACGCAGGTCTTGTTCCTGGCGAAAAGCTACTGGGGATGTTTGTTGCGGCGGAGAATGGAGAAAAGGCAGGATGATCATAGATAAGGAGGAGTAGGGCCCATGTCAAGTACGAGAAGCAGGTATCAGCTTCAAGTGTGGAAGTGGAAGGAGGAGAAGTCTGTGGCCAACACGGAATCGTGTCGTGTACGCGGTGCGCGGGGGAGGAAGAGGGCGTGCTCCAATCGAGCGGTGGATGGGTGTGTCCCTGACCTGTCAACGTCTGATCCCTTAGGCCGGCCGCTAGGCTGGTGGTCATGACGCCCGGCGCGCCCGGGCACCCTGCATACCCACATCCTCCGTGTCCCCCGTAGCCCCCGTACCCCTAGCCCCGATCTCGAACAGCCAAGCACCCACCCGCCGGTCTCCATCAGCTTAGCTTCCAGGCCACCCCGCCCGCCCAGTCAGCCCGGCCTAGCCAGCCCAGCCAGCCCAGTCAGCCTAGCCAGCCTAGCCAAA